AGTCAGCACTTTAGCAGTAAAAGATAATCTACTTGTTGCTGGTGGGTTTCAAGGAGAGCTTATTTGCAAGGTGGTATTATGGCATGTCTACTAATATAAGAAAGTTATTGCTTTTATCTGATAGTATTGGGATTTTTTATTCAATCCTGTGCTTGTGATATGGTTTTGTTTCTTAAGTGGGTTAAAATACTGCTTAGGCATAAGGCACTGATGTTCATGTAATCTAAATGCAGTATTTAGATAGGCCTGGAGTTTGCTTTTGTTCCCGCACAACTTATGATGATAATGCCATAACTAATGCTGTTGAGATACACACCACTCCCAGGTATTTATGTTATTGTAATCAGTGATCACATATGATGATTATCAGTTTGAATGGGGGCTAAGCTTTGTATTTCTTCATTCATCAGTGGTGCACTTCATTTTATAGCTTCAAATAATGATTGTGGAGTCAGAGATTTTGATATGGAGAAATTTCAACTGTCTAAGCATTTCCGGTTTCCTTGGCCAGTGAATGTAAGCCCTTCTCTCTGCCTCTGTGTGTGTGTACTATATATTTATATTTGTTAATCTATGATTTATAGTATGGCTCATATTCCATCCAAATGTGTTCATAATATATACTTAGCATTAAAAATCCTTGTACATCAATTGTGGCTATCCATCCATTGTTGCTTGCATTGGGAGATTCTTCCTTCTTTCTCTAAGAAACCTTTTTATGCTTGCAGCACACAGCCTTGAGCCCTGATGGCAAGCTTCTTATTATAGTTGGGGATAACCCAGATGGTATGCTGGTAGACTCTAGAAGTGGAAAGGTCTGTTGGACACATGAATGTTGATATAGAATTCTTCACAATGGTAAATTGTTATACCTGAATAAGGAACTAAAAAATGGCATCTGATAATATGGACAGGTTGTTGCACCTCTGTGTGGACACTTGGACTTCTCGTTTGCATCATCGTGGCATCCCGATGGTTTTACATTTGCTACCGGAAACCAGGACAAAACCTGTAGAGTTTGGGACGTACGCAACTTGTCAAAGTCAGTGACTGCTTTGAAGGGTAACCTGGGAGCCATTCGGTCTATTCGCTACTCATCGGATGGAAGATTTATGGCCATGGCAGAGCCTGCAGACTTCGTCCATGTTTTTGACGTGAAAAGCGGGTATAGCAAGGAACAAGAAATCGACTTCTTTGGGGAGATATCAGGGATGTCATTCAGTCCGGACACGGAGTCCCTTTTCGTTGGGATTTGGGATCGAACATATGGTAGCCTTTTGGAGCTTGGACGGCGTCACAACTACTCATACCTTGATACCTTTATCTAAAATTCACTCCCATTGGTGTGAAGCGTTTGAGTGTTCCGCCTATTGGTGCAACTGTGTAAAGCAGTAGCCTAGTACGCACCACTAGGGGAATGAGGTGTAAAATGTTTTATGTTGTGCTATGTTGGCTGGTCTTTCAAATTGATTGTGACATTTGTCATAAATGTAGAATGGAGGAATGAATATGTATAGAAGGCTAGAGAAACTCCAGTCAGTGATATGGACATGAACAAAACAAGTAGAGTGAGGGGGGGCTGGGAATGGGACTGGGATTTCTCACTTTGTTTCTGGGACTCCAAAACCTTTCTTCAGAGTTGCTCTGCATTTATATCAATAACTCAACCATTTTACGATTTGCGTTACTTTTTTCTCTATTGTTATCTTGGAATGTGAAAATTGCAGTATCAACAATTTTGACACTGTTGAAGTTATCTATAAATAATTAAATATTTGAGATTTGGTCAAATAGGTCATTCACTCTTACAAGATAAAGATGAGCAATTAGGTTCTTGAGTTTTTAAAAGGTTCAATTATCACCTCTAATTAAGTCTAATTTATTGGTAACAAATAGGTTATTGGTAAAATTATGTTGTTGACCGCCCTCAAGTTATTGTTAACATGAAAAAGTTGATAGCCGGTGGGCAAATCGAGTTTCCACCAAAACAGTTATAATTGAAGGTTATAGATCTATTAACGGTTGACGAGTTTAATGAACCTTTTAAAAGTTCAAAAACTTAATTGTTCTATCAAGTAAAGTTCAATGACTTATTTGGTATTTTTCTCTAAATACTTAAGTGCTAAAATCTATATCCTCCAGGATTTAATCCCAACATGAATCAAACAAGTATTATGCATATATAGTTATACATAATACAAAACATACTAGTATGGGATGACAACTTATAAAAAAAAAAAAAATCAATTTAATTACATATCAAAGGAGAATGTGGCATGGATGCATTCTTTACTTTGCTTAATGTGAAAAAAAAAAAAAAAAAGAAGAAGAAAATGATGGGCAAGAAATTCAAAGACCCTTTGATTTGACCGACATAACATAAGCCTAAGAAAAAAAATAAAATTGATAGATGTTAATGGCATCATCATCATCATCAAATAGTCTCTTCTATAGTTGTATTCATCAATCATGGAATTTTGGAAATCCAATTTTGTTGACTTCCCATTTCCCAAACATGGCACCCATTTTGTGATCGTTTGTCTCAATCTCATCTCATTTTTTATTGACTAAAGAGCTCTTTTAAGAAATCTAAACAGTAAAACTTCTTTCAAAATGGATTTTTACATTACACATAAATCCCAATACTATATATATATTTGTATGTGTAATTGTAACATTTTCGTCCATAGGGTAATACACACATGTATATATATATATTTTTTTTAAAAATTGGGATTTTATAAATAATAAAGGAAGGAAATTGTTTTGGGGATTTGGTAAGGGGTTACGTTGAAGCTGAATGGCAACAGTTATATAAGACATACGCCATAAATCTGGGTTGTTACCTTGTTGGTTCAATCCAGTCTAGGGGTACAAATGGAAATAAATTAATTAGATCGTCAAAACCGCGTGGAAACATGTTTATTAAGGTAATTAATCATCCTCATTGAACCCAAAATCAATTCTCGTGTTTTAACTACCCTAAAAAATATCTTTGACAGGACAACGTTGGATGATTGGATCCGCCATGGGAGAAGTTTATGCTGTGCATGTATACAAATTATTCAAGGAGGATCAATATGCTCATTGAATAGATGCCGTTCATGTGTTATATTGTTCACGACAGGCTCAATCGCGAGAATGTCGAGAAGAAAATTATTCTTAGTTTTACACTTACACTTATTTCCACACTTTTGATCACAAATTCAATTTTTTGTCAATACCTTTGCGATTTGCCTCTCCTATGTAGTTTATGGGCTATTACATAGGAGTGATGTTTACTTCATATATAGACAATCTTAGGTTAAGGTGGGTCTTCTCCTAACACCCAAAAATAAAAAATAAAAAAAAAATAATACATAACATTAAAAATTGTAATGAGATAGAGGTCTATTTTGTTATAATTACATGGAGTTAATTGTAAAATTTTCAATCAAATCTTTTTATGTATAAAGTAGATAGGTTGTGATCTTGAAAACTTAATTACGAAGAGAGATTTTAACCATGGAGGATCTCAAATTTTGAGTACCTAACTGACCAAAAATAAATAAGTAAATAAATAAAAGAGAATTTCTATGATGTGAAGTTTTAATGAACATTTTTCTTTCGGCCAATGACTTGTGGTTTAATGGTAACTTTTCCAAATGAGTCTCATAGGTTTGAACTCCAATGAAGGCAATATTGACTTTTTATGTTTTAGTAAGTTAAAATTTAAAATTGTAACAAAATTAATAGTACTCAAAAAATGGACATTTTTTTATTTTAAAATTTCTAAGTGTTAGTTAATTTTTGTTTAGAATGATAAATTTAAATAATATCATAATTTATTCGGAAGGGAGTAATACTTTAATATAGACACAAAATTAAATCAATATCTTTATTCCATATATATGTTTTGCATACATTTTTCCTTGGAGACTTTAACCTTGACTAAGCTACTAATTAACCAATTTTTCGTCAAACTGTTGTTGCAAACAAGTTGTCGATAGATTATATTTGTATGATGATGATTAATAAATAATATAACGTTGAATAAGTTTTTAATAATGTTGGTTTAATAAACAAGTCTAACTTATACTAAAGATTTTAACCCCCTAGTGGCAAGAGAGTGTAAAGCTCTCATATTATTTGTGCAATTTTCAGCTTCGTCCAATTGAATTGGAGTAGTAAATCAGATATATTCATTGCAAAGTTAATAATCGTATGTATTTGATGACTGCAATAGTTTTATGTATTCATCCCAAAGTCAATAATTGTGCAGATTAGATGACTGCTATATTTTAATTCTTTCCAAAAGGTTGAATTCTCAACTTTAAGGGTCGTCACACTCCGGCCCAACAGAGCATCAAGTTAATCTCAAGTTGACGTCGCATGTTGTGGTTCGGAAGATCAGCCAAGCTCCTTTTTTTATTTATTTTTTTTATTTTTATTTTTTATGACAAATGGTGTTGAAATGGTTTGATCATACAATTTTTATAAATTACTTTTTTTTTTTGGTTTTATTTTTAGAATGATATGTTTAAAAAAAAAAGGTTAAAAATAAATGAGAGATCTGAAATGGAGTCAATCCCAAATTTGTCTTACCTTATTTATACTCCATTCATTCACCAATTAAAACTTAATATGAGAGACAAATTAGCAATATATTTGATCTTCACATTGAAGATGTAATTTAACTGAAATTATACTTTAAAATGAAAAGTAATGTAGTAAACATAATAATTTTTTTATATGGAAACAAATCATAATCATCGATCTCGTATTTGTTCTTTTTTTTCCTAATATGTGTCTGTGTAGCCATATACACACACATGTATTTTTTGAGTAAGCCTTACTAACTATGTTACACATATATATAATCAAATAAAATAAAATTAAATATATATAAAAGTAGAAATTAAAATAAATTTGATTGTAGTTGATGGGCGGGGAGTGTAGAATGAATAATTTGGAAAGAATTTAAAGAGAGAAAAAAGAGGCAAAGCAAAGGGTGGAGTGAATTACGAAAGAGCAGTTACGAATAGCAGCGAAAGAAAGACTCTTCATTCCAATCTCTCTCTCTCTCTCTCTCGACTCTCCCTCCTTATCTTCTTTTCTCTTCTTCTTCGATCTTCTTCTTCTTCAGTTATAATCTCCTCCGATATCATCCATGCTAATCCTAATCCTAATTAACACCATTTTTTCTTCTTCCTTTCTCGCCGCTTCCCCTACCCTACCTTACCTAGCTCCATCTTTACAATCCTCTAATTTTTCCGTCTTCTTTGTTTTAGCTGAGATTAGATGATGGGAAGATTATATGAGACTAGAAACCGCCGTCCTTCCTTCGTTCTTGATTCCGATATACATATGCCCGCATAATCTTCTCTGATCTCAGCTCCTAGGATCTTTTCTTCATAAAGTTGGGAGCTTTGAACGAGGTAGTGTGGGAATTACTGGCAAACTTTTTCTTAGTGATTGATCAGCTGCAGGATCTTATGTAATCTCATCATCCCTCACTTTCTTGATCATCTATCGTTTCACATACTATACATACCCATCATCGAATCTCATCGATCTGTTTACTAGTAGCTGGGGTTAGTTTGTTTCAATGGTGGAAGAGTTAGAGAATCAGCTGTCACAGGAAACAATAATCAAGAAGGGTCAGCTGCGGTTTGATGGAGGTGATGGGAGGCGGCTGAGTATAAAGCTCAAGAATGTTCCCAAGGAGGAGGATCAGGAAGAAGAAGAAGAAGAGGGGTATGAGGTTTTTGATGGTGAGAGTGAGAAAAAGATTATTACCCGGATCTGCCATGTCTGTAACAAAGGGTTTAGCTCCGGGAAAGCTTTGGGGGGTCATATGAGGATTCATGGCCAGCAGTACAAGAAGCGTAAAGAAGATGCGGCGTTCCAAGTAAAAGAAGATGAGGAAGAAGAGGATGAATATGAATATTGTTATGATGACAACGAAGAAGACGAACGTGTTGTTATCCGTCGTGGTGGTATTGTGGAGAGGATGAAGAAGAAGAGGAGGAAGAGGTTTATGAAGAAGATGAAAATGGTGGTTCCTGTTTGTTTGATATGCGGAAAGGATTTTCAGTCGATGAAATCACTGTATGGGCACATGAGATCTCACCCGAGGAATTGGAAAGGGATTCATCCGCCGGCGGAGACCGCCGAGAATCCCGTGGTTTCAGGTGGCGCCGCTACCGTGGTGGATTTAAACAAGGCTTTGAAGTGTTGGTCGGTGACTGCCAAGAGAGGCCGGAAGGTGATGAGCGGCGGCGATCAGACTTCCAGCTTGTCGGAGGACACGGAGGAGGAACAGCTGCGGGACGCTGCTCACGAGCTCATGATGTTAGCTCACGGCGCGTCGCACCACGACCAGGAACTCGACAGCAAATCTCTGTCGTACAAGGTTGTCGACGACGAACATGGAGACCGGAACAATTGGGTTAATCTTGATTTCACGGTGAGGAAACCTGCTCCTTTTTCCGTTGGAAAGCAGCAGCTGAGAATTGACGGCGGCAACACGAAAAATCTGCGACCAAACACGAGCCGCGTTATGACTAAGAATAATGTACGAGGAAAAGCAAAGGCTATGCCGGAAAATCAAGAAGCGGCAGCTTTTGGAGGTTTCACAGAGAACTCCTCATTAGGCGGTGAAGAATCAAAGAAGAAATCGATTATTATTTCTGGACATAGAGAAACCACTTATAACAACATAGCCAATGAGAACACGAGGAAAAAGAGGAAGAAGTTGATCAAGTTGAAAGATTTGGGGTCTGTTCATCACAATGCTGCCGCCGCTGTTGATCATGATAATCGGACTCTGGCGGCGGAAAAGTACAAGTGCAGCGAGTGTGATAAGTGGTTCCGAAGCCACCAAGCTTTGGGGGGCCATAAGTCAAGCCACAACAAATTGTGCAAGATGGTCATTCAAAACTCCATAGATGATGATGATCAAGTTCCATTAATGCCATCAATCCAAGTCACAAATTCCCCGGGTGAACTCAGCCACACCACCGCTGGCGGCGGCGGAGGTAGCAGCCAACACCGCCACCACCAAATTCTCGATTTTGATCTGAATGAAGTGCCCCAGACGACGGAGGAGGAAAATGAAGCCGCAGCTGCAGATCAGATTATGGGTATGCTCCAATTTCTTGACTGACTTTAGTGATGAGGTGAAAATTTCCCAGTTTTTACTGAACTGACGATGAGAAATCAACCGTAGCAGTCAGTTTTGACCCGTACTTTGAATTTACTGATGATGATGATGATGATGTTAAATTTTCTTTCAAGATTACTAGTGTAAAATCTGGGGGGGAAATGTGTTTAGGTTGCATGTAGTAGCTAGCTAGCTAAGAACAAAGAGGAACCATCGTGGTTTTGGCTCTTCTGAACATTTCTTGATCTATTGATCACAGCTGAAAGCAGTAGGGGATTCATTCTTGTCCTTTTGTGCTTCAATTTCTTCACGGAAAGCATGGTTGTCCAACAAGCTTGCTGTGGGGAAACAACCCATCAATGCTTTTTTCTTTTGTTTTTGTCGTCTGCCTTTAATTTGTAGCTAAGGATCGGATATGTGCATCATCATCATCATATCAAATGTTTTTAATAATTAATTTTGTCCATCTTCTAACCATTTCTTCAATGTTTTTTTTCATAATTAAAAAATACAGTAATCTTTAATATGATGGTTCATCTGTCCTATTGTTGTTTTCAAACTGAGAGGATGTAAATCATGGTAACTTACGTGAATATATAGACTAAACCTTACTACGCTGTCCTAGATTATTGTTCTCAAACTTCACCCATGTGACCAACTGAGCTGCCCAATAATGATAATGTATGTGTTTCTGGTTTATTTGTGAGGTAGGTAGAAAGTTTTGAGAACCTTTGATGATAGTGAGGAGAAAGGGAGGAGATTATGAAATTAAAATGGCAAAAGTCAAGACCCCATTGGGATTATTATTATGACCTTTAAGCTTTCCTTGCAAGTATCAATCTTGGAGTTGTATCATCATCATTAACATTATATTATGTGTGGAAAGTGTTACAAGTAGTGAACAACAACATTTGAGATTACAGCTTTTAAAAGCTCAACTCCACATATACAAACAAAAGGTGTCATCCATACATAGATTAGATAAGTATCTTCCAACCCATCTTTTAAAAAGAATACAAAAGCACCTTTCACCCCCACTTCATTCCTTACAAATTAAATACTTCTTTTTTCCTTCGCCCCTTGAATTCTCACTTATACAAAAACGCACACACATACCTATATTCACTAGACCAAGTCAAGATATATAACATTGTTCCCAAAAGGTTGAATCCCCAACCCCGATCCAACAAAGCATTTGTAAATAATGGTAACTCAACTGAACACAAAGGCTAGACTTTTGCTGACTGCACACAAAGAGACCTGAGAGGTTGCTTCCACAATATCGCTGATTAGACTCGATCCCAGGTTATGGTTTCGAAACTTCTTCACCCATGTGATCAATTGAGCTGTCCATGCGGGCAAGATATATATAACATGACTACATGAGCAACACTCTTGCAATTGCAATGCCTTTAATATAACGGAACTACGTATTTTGACATAAATTACTCTGATCTTGATATAAAATTTAATTTCGTAAATTAGGGTTTAGGCTAGTTTGATGATAGTTAAAAAAAAAAGGTTGGTGCGAGGAGGAAGAAAGGTGTGTCAAACTGTACAAGGTTGGCACATTCTCGTGAACACATGAAAGCAACAGGAAACACCTTAGCTTGTATCACTTACTTTTTGACTTTACATAACCTCTCTAAATGGTATTCAAACTTGCATAACTCGTACATAGATTCATACTTATTCTCGTGAAAAACAGTTCTACACATTTACACTTTTAAGTTTTTATTACTCGATTATTAGTGCTACAAAAACTCCGGGTGGCTGATAACCCTAACAACCCTCACTATTACATGAATGTGCACTCTACCTAAACCTCGCCGTATAGCCCTAGCTGTCAAAAAACCATAATGAGGTAAACCAGACAACCAGTCTAGGTTACTCGTTCGTACCTTGTGGTTACCAAGTCAACTATCAGCCTCAGTGCCTCAACAATGATATGGAGAATATGGTAAAGTATACAAAGTACAATGAAGTGATACCAAGATTATATTTGAAAGCAACTAAGTAAGGTTTGAGATGCATTTAGGATGATAAATTACAAAAACGAAGAGAAAACCTTGCTTCCTCAAAATTATGTAGGTACAACGGGAGTAAGGTGATGGGGAGACAACTGAAAGATGAACAGTCCAACGACGAGAACTAGTAGTATCAGCTGTGAACAGAAGCAGAAAGTGTGTTTAAAGACGCTTTTCTGTAGTTTTAGAGTGTCATCAGCAGAACTGACCATGTTTTTGCAGTAGTTCTCCAACTTCTCCGCTTCCTTCTTCAGCATTTCAGCCTTCTGTTCTGCATCTCCGAGTTTGTTCACCATATTATCTGAAGCTAGAGCCTTTTGTTGTTCTAAGAGAGTGATTTGATCAGATACTGCAGCTTTTGACACCAAGAACTCAACTTCAGTTTCAATTTTCTGTTTAAAGAGGGTTTCAAGCTCGGTTTCTATGTCTAAGGTGGGCTGCATTGCAGTCTGTCTCTCCCCCGTTCTTGGCCCGTTGCTTATAATGGACTCGAGCTCATTCACTTTAGCATCCTTTAATGTAAGCATCGATGTTGCCTCCTCAAGCTTGCTTTCAGTAAGTTTCAGAACCTGTTTCTGGCTAATCACCTCATTTTCCAAGGAATCAAAAGAATCTTGCATGCCATTAACCGGTTCCAAATGCTCAGCTTCTTTTGCTATTTCTTTGAACTTTTGAACCTCTGCATAAAGATAAAAGCTCTTTCTTTCAACTAAATTATGTCCAGTCAATTTTGTCAGGCAAAAAGGGGAATGCAAACATCTATTCTGTTCAAACACAACTTATAGCCACAGAGATCAATCCAGATTTCAATAAAATCAGACAAGAAACATTTCAGCTGTGCTTAGAACTGACTATAAAATCCTCTAAGCTTAAAGCTAACAACAACTTCTACTGACATTCATGAATACAAGTTGTCTTAATCCCAAATAGTTATCATGGTATCTTTGGAAAAATGTATAACTATAAAATCAAAAGCTGAAACGTAAAAATAAGGAAGGTAATAAATACACATTATTAATCAAAAGTTTATAACATAAAGGGAAGACCCACCCCTTTCCAGTGCTTCCTGGGCAGTTTGGAGTGTGAAGATAGATCCGATCACAGGATCATGATCCGTTGAAGTGCCCTGGTTCTCACTTTTCTCATCTTTTGCCTCCCAAGATGACTCGGCAGATAGACCTTCCTGCAATACATCTTCAAACTGTCCGGTATTCCCATCATTATAACTAGCTTGAAGGTCATCATCGCCAACTTTTCCTTCACATTCCTTATCTTCATCTCTATTTTCTCCATCAGAATTCAATGGCCTCTCTCCTTTTGTCCCGTTACTTTTCAGGCTACTAGTACCCCCCTGCATAAAGACAAAGTTGGAGCTTCTTGAGTCAGATTCCATGCTGGAATGAGAGTTTTCCTTGTCAATTTTAACCCTTTCTCCTCTAAGCTTCTTACTAGATTCTGTCCAATCCTTGCTCTGCTGGCCTTTCTGAACTGAAGTACCCAAATTGTTTTGGCTCAAATTCGCCAAGTTCTTATTACCTGCGGGTTTTTTATTCCTCGGGGGGTTTGAAGCACTATCACTACTCTGATCCTCACTATTCTCCAAGTCTTCCCCAGCCATAAAAGCAGAACCATGAACAGCCACTGAATTGCCAATCAAACTCACAAATTCACTGCTCTGTTGCGAGGTTCCAGCAGAATAGCGCACAGATTTTGCAGAATTCTTACTCGAACTCGACAAATCCCGCTTCACAATCAACTTACTAGTATCTATATTACTATCCCCATCCTTCTTTACTTCCCCCCTATTGATCCTCTTCCATTTCCTCAGTCCATACCCTTTTGTTGTAGGTGAAGGCGTCGTCGATTTCACTGCCACCGCCTCCTCAGTAACTTCAAATCCCTTCCCCTTAGTCTCCATTGATTCATTATCATGCTCGTTCACACAATTCCCATAAGCTCCCAATTTCTCAGAATTTGAATTGCTAACCGTTTCACTAACCTCCACCGCTCCAGTTGCTGAACACTCACCTTCCAACTCCATCACTACCAAAATGCTAAAACTTTGAGCTCCAAATGACGGATACCCAGAAGTCACACTCAGATCAAGATCCAAAACTACCAACTATTATTCCAGCTGTGGCTACTCTCCAATTTTTTATTTTTTATTTTTTTATAAAAACATTTGAAATCGAAATCGCACCCAAGTTACACTGAATTACTCTTAGCAGCTTCGCATTTAATTCGCGAGAAAATAATCAAAATAACTACGGAGTAAATAATACGCAACTGAAATCAACAATTAGCTTACCTTTTGCTCCATAACTAAGGCGTCGACGACGAAAAAAAATGGATGAACGAGAACCCTAGCTGCACTGTGGATTTGGAGATTAATAGCCACGAAATTACATACAGAAAAATACTAAAATAACAAGAAAACAACGGTTTATTTCATGAAAATATTCTTCCATTTTTTTCTGAAAAATAAAATAAAATAAAAGAAGAAGAAGATCGTAAAATAATGTTGATTTAAGATATGAGCCCTCCGTACGTAGTATTCATTGGAACGAGGAAAGAAGAGCCACGTGGGAGATGTCCTGATGATCTGGATACCCACATGACGTGTCGTGTCTGGAGGTGACTCGCAGACTCGGTGAGTTAAAGGACCGGGTCGGTATTTCGGTGGTGGGCTTGGACTTGGGCCGACAGCTTCCATTTTTCATTTGTCTTAAAAGGTTGTCTTTTTTCTTTATAAAAAGAGGTTGTTTTTAAAAATAATAATTAATTGTAATTGATTTCTCTGCCAAAAAGTTTAACAATAAAATACAAAGCCCAATTAAAAAAAAGTGTTGCAGCTCTCCTAAGCACATGCAGCCAGGATGCAAGGAAGGGTGTTAGATTAAAAGAATACATGATGACATAATGAGCCATTAATTAAGGTGTAAAGGTGATTAATGGACCATTAATTGTGATTTAATTTAAGATATGGAAAAAAATTAATGAGAAAGGAAATACATGGGTCCAAAGGAATTGATTATAGGCTCCAAGCTCTGAATTCATATCATTTTCCAGCTTAAACACAATCATCATATGAATCAGGAAGGCATAATGAAAGACAGAAGCTTTTGGCAATAAACATAATACAGAACATGGGAAATCCTTAATCATGATATGACAGAACATGGCAAATCCTTGATTAGTTCATTATAGAATGCAGAATTATACTAACTCTCCTCTCCGTCCACCATGTGCATCAGATCTTCTTAATGCGATTTATCTGTTTTTTAATGTAATTTGTGAGCTATTACACATAAATGAGGTTTATCCGATACACACGATTAAATAATGACTGTGATTTATTGACTATATACTCATTTTATGCAAAAAAAAAATTCTTGAGAAACACATTCTTGATAAGTTTGGACAAACAGACATTTATACTCAATGTCTAAATGTTGCCTAGGCTTGGTCCTACCAGGAAGTACTAGTGTACTAATAGATCAAAGGACTGTATCCCCACTCTTGTTCGCTGATATAATTCACTGGTCAAACTCGCTATATACAATCCGTTATTCATTATCCGCTAATACAAACCGCACAAGGACATTATTAAATCAAATCAAGATGCAAGAAGAAAAATGAAAAAAAAGAAAGGGAATCTGTGCAGAGGATTCAAAATCAATCAATTATTAATAGATTCAGTCATCAGTTGGACTGGTCTGCTCCAATTCCCATAGCAAAATGTGTCAGATTCCTCCCTCCGTATACATAAATATTAAAATTTTCAAAGCCATTTCAAATCTAAATCCTGCAAAAGTTTATACCTTAAACCTGGTTTTATGTTTAAATCTGAGTTTAATTATAATGCTGCACCTACAACTTACTGCCCATTAACAATTTGCTCTCCCCAATGCCCTTTTTCTCTCTGACCAGGCTTTGGCTTCTGTGAGGAGAGAAAATTGAGAAGATTATAGCACATAAAACAAAAAGAAATGGCCTAAACCCAAAGACAAAAAGAAAAAAAATTAAAATATGAGCATAGATAAATGCACCATTTACTATCTGTAACTTCTTTTTAAGCTATTGTTTAATACTTTCCATGTTCAAATCTTAAATCTATCCTCACAGATCTTTCCATGTTCCCATCTGTACAGCTTCTTGATGAATGAGAGAGAGAGAAAGGGGGGAAGGTTTCTTGTTCAGGGCAAGCAGATTTGCAGCAAATGATGGTTCTTCTTTTTGGGGTTTCCTAATGAAATAAGGTCCAGGTAAAATTAAAGGACTTTGATCAGTCAACTGTTTTTTACTTTTTACACTTCCTCCTGGACTGCTTCATCAATGTTCTATGCTACTTTTGTTTCCCTTTTATCATAATCAATGGGATAGATTTACTGTTCTTCATCTTCCATTTTTGAATAGTGAAATGTGAAGCCCTGTCAGGGAGGCCCACTGTTAAATTAAAGAAGATGATGAAGAAGATGCATAGTTTCAAGTGTAATAACACATCTTTTTCTCTGTTCAAACAGCATTGACTGTTGCATTCATTGAATTTCTGCAGCTAAAAGTTCCCAGTTTTCCTGCTTCCAATCTGGTCAAAATGGTTCTGTCTGTCATGGCTGCTTTAATTTGTTCACTGGAAGTTTAAATTGAGCTTTTAGGATCGGAGTTTCAGAGTTTACATTAATTCATGGCGGAAGAAGCTAAACAACAGTGGGTTAATGGAATCCCTGCCGTTGATCCCAAGTCCCTCACCATCAAGATTGCCTGCTCCGGCTCCGGCAAGAAAACACCGTCTCCATCGCCGTATAACTCTCCGTCACTCATCTCTCCGCCGTCTTCTGCGTTTGTTTCAGCGTTACAGTCGCCTTACATTTCTCCCAGGGCAACTCTACCTGCAAATCCCACTCCCTCGCCGCCGGTGTCGTACTGCGGCTCCCAGTCCGACGATGTTCCGAGCACCTCGTACACTCCACCCCCGGAAAGATACGATTTTTCCGACGAACCTGCCGACCCAATGCTCAAGATTGTCACGGTGTCGGGACCCGACACTGATCCTCGGATTTCTTTCTCGTTTCCTGTCCCCCGGATTTCCTTCGCCAAAGGCTCCGTCTCGCCGGCGTCCAACGCCAAGCTCCGGAGCTGCGATGTGTACATAGGATACCACGGGCAGAACCCGAATCTGGGGCGGTTCTGTAAATGGCTTAAATCGGAGCTTGAGCTTCAAGGAATTGCAGGTTTTGTAGCAGACCGGGCAAAGTATTCCGATAACCAGAGCCTCGAAATCGCCGATCGCGTTATTTGTTCAGTCACGTTCGGCATTGTCGTCGTCACCAATCACAGCCTCTTTAACCACACAACCGTGGAAGAAATAAGATTCTTCGCGCAAAAGAAGAACTTGATTCCTTTGTTCTTCGGCACAGACGCCACCGAAATCTCAACCCTAAGCCTCTCAAATCCTCATTCCGAAAACAAGAAATGCAAAGAAGCATTGGATGCAGTGTTGAAGTGCCACGAGTATAAGCTGGAAGCCAAGGAAGGAAACTGGAGAAGCTGCGTGTCAAAAGCAGCAGGGATTTTGAGGGCAAAGCTTGGGAGGAGAAGTGTTGCAGAGAAGAATCCAGAAGGATTAGAGGAGCTGCCATTTCCAAGAAACAAACATTTTGTAGGAAGGGAGAAAGAAATCATGGAGATTGAAGCAGCCTTCTTTGGTTCTGGGGATTCTTTTGAGCAAGAAAATGGAACACCTGGGCAATCTGAAGGACTTGCAGATGACGAAAGCGAAATCGATGGAGGCAGAGGGAAATACATAAATCTGGAAGTTGGAAGGTGCAAAGACAGCAATGGAGAAACTTGGGTGGATCCAATTGCAGGAAGAAATTCCCTGAAAAGGTCCAAATACAAGAAATCAAAAAGCTGCAAAGATAAGAGCTTTGGCAGCAGCGTTGTATGCATAAGTGGATTACCAGGTGGAGGAAAAACCGAGCTTGCATTGGAATTTGCTTACAGATATTGGCAGAGATACAAAATGGTTTTGTGGGTTGGAGGGGAAGCAAGGTACTTTCGGCAAAATATACTCAACATATCAGTGAATCTAGGGTTAGATGTGAGTGCAGATGCAGAGAAGGAAAGAGGGAGGATAAGAAGCTTTGATGAACAAGAATCTGAAGCATTCAAGAGAGTTAAAAGGGAGATATTCAGAGACATGCCTTATCTGCTGATTATTGATAATCTTGAGACTGAAAATGAATGGTGGGAAGGGAAAGACCTCCATGATTTAATACCAAGCAACACTGGTGGCACTCATGTGATCATCACAACAAGGATTTCGCGGGCGATGAACATCGATCCACTGCAGCTTCTTCCATTGCCTGTATCTGATGCAACAGCTTTGATCCAAGGGAGACACAAAAGGCCTCAATATCCAGTTGGAGAACAAGAATTCATTCTCAAATTCAATGAGAGACTTAGAAGCTCGAGTTTCGGGCTATCAGTAATTGGATCCCTTCTGGCAGAGCTTTCAATCCCCCCTTCTGTTCTGTTTGAAGCTGTGAATCAGGTCCCCCTTGAAGACACCCCAACTCACTCTAATCTCACTATTCCTGAAGAACAGTTGTGCAGAAACAACCCTTTTCTGATGAAAACTCTCGCGTTTTCTGCTGCTGTTTTGCAGCAAAGCAAGAATCTTCTTGCTTCAAGAATGCTCCAGATTGGGGCATGGCTAGCCCCCACACCCATCTCAGTTAACATACTAGCAGCAGCTGCAAACAAAATACCTGACTGTGAAAACAGGCTGAGGAAATGGACCAAATGGATGAAACTTGGTTTGTTTTGTTGTACAGGAAACCAGACATGGAAGAGTGAAGAAGAAGCAGCTTTTCTGCTAATCAGAATGGGTTTGGCCAGGAAATCCAACAGACAACCAGGATGTTGGATTCAGCTACATCCTATTACTCAGGTTTTCGCAAAGAGAAAAGATGGATTAGCATTATCTGCAGCCAAAGCCACAGTCCAAGGAGTAAGAAGAATGGGGAATCCACACACAGATTCAGACCATTTCTGGGCTACTGCTTTCCTCGTATTCGGGTTCAAATCAGAACCCCCGAACGTCCAACTAAACGCCACCGAAATGCTTCTCTTCATCCGAAAAACAGCACTGCCATTAGCCATCAATGCCTTCACAACCTTCTCGAGATGCAACTCGGCCTTGGAGCTCCTCAAAGTGTGCACAAACGTGCTCGAAGAAGTGGAGAAGTCGTTCGTGTCACAGATACAGGATTGGCACCACGCATCGCTCTGCTGGAAGAAGACGACGCTGCTGCAATCCAACCAGAGAGTGGACGAATACGTGTGGCAAGAGGTGACACTGCTGAAAGCCACACTGCTCGAAACCAGAGCGAAGCTGCTGTTGAGAGGAGGCCATTTCGACAGCGGAGAGGAGCTCTGCAGAACCTGCATTAGTATCAGGACAGTGATGCTTGGCCACAACCATGCTCACACATTAGCTGCTCAACAAACACTGGCAAAATTAGTAAGAATGAGGAGTAAAATATGATGTTTTTTTGTCAATTCTCTTTGAAGACAACTTGAGGTAGCTCAATTTTGTTCACACTGATTCTAACATTGTCACTTGTCGGTTCAAGTAACATATAAAGATCATCAACTTACACTTCTTTCCCCAGAATATATCGAATTCACAATATAAAATCTTGACAGAAAAGTGAGCTGCAAACTCTTTTAAAATCAAAGTTTGAATCTTTAAACTCATTTAACATTAAAAGTTTGAATCTTTAAACTCATTTAACATCGAAGTTTGAATCTCTAAACTCATTTAACATCAAAGTTTGAATCTTTAAACTCCTTTAACATTAAAAGTTTGAATCTTTAAACTCATTTAACATCAAAGTTTGAATCTTTAAACTCATTTAACATTAAAAGTTTGAATCTTTAAACTTATTTAACATCAAAGTTTGAATCTTTAAACTCATTTAACATCAAAGTTTGAATCTTTAAACAATTCCTATCAAAAAGAGCATTTCAAAACTCCTCAATAGCTTCCAGCAACTAATTTTCACAGAAAAACCAGATCGAAGATACTGATGATAAGCACATGAGTACACATTCATCAAGATTAGACAACTTTATAAAAATCCTAAAAGAATGACTAAGGTTGTCCAATCAAAATCTAACTTTTAATTGTTTTTTGTTTGCATGAATCCTTGAAATTTTGAAATATGTTGATGGCGATACTGATCTGACGTGGTTAATGCTGCATGTACATGAAGAAAGATGAATGCATGCGTGGGTAAATCCTGTCCACATACTCAACGAGATCTGACTAATTATTTGTGCACTTAAAGGCGTAATAATGTTGGTGGGTAGTAATTAGTGGATAACGTGCTTCACGCTGGTGTTAAGTACGGTAATATTAAACAACTTGCTTCAATAGTCAACTTGACAATTACAAGGTTTTAAGATTGTTTCTTTATGAAATTATTTATTAACCTCGTTAACCGAAGTCAGTTAACTATAAGATAATTTAGATTAATTTATCACTTTGTAATCTTTTCGGTAGGGTTACAATATGGATAAATAAAAAAATATAGTAACATTAGTACCAAGGGCAATTGTTGAGAATTAAGAAGCTAGTCAATTTGACAATGATGTGGTTTAGTGACTTTTCCAAATGAGAGGTTATGGGTTTGAGTTTCAGTGGGAGCAGTATTGACTCTTTGTGTTCCAATAAAGTGAGAAAATAATTATGAACATATATTACATTGTAATAGAGTTAGTAGTACTATAACAAAAAAAAAATTTTAAAAAAAAGCTAGTCTATTTAAGATGATGATGACGAGTGAAGAATTATTCCATAATGCAAACAAAAGCTTCCCATTATTTTCAGACCTACCATTAAGTAGGTCCAAAGCACAGCGCACATATGACTTCTCACATTACTTTTATATCATAATCATTTTGCTTTATCTATATATATGGGTATAATTATAATTATAAAATTTTGAAATTATTAAACTTTACATGAAAACTGAAAAGGATTGATCTATATTTCACTTGTAAATTATCTAATGTACTTGTGCTATGTTTAGGCATTCTATTTGTGCTTTTCTTCTATCTTTGTCTATGATTAGTAATAAGTTTTGTTGAGTTTCTCATAAAAGTAGAGCAGTTTAGATAGATCTATTGTACCAGATATCTATAAATATAAAAGAAACGTGGGCGTATACATTGTCGAACCACGTAAATCTTGTCTTCTTAACTTTCTGTCATTATTATTGTTTCTTGTTCTTGTTAATCTTAAGAAGTTCAATTGATAACTTGGATTAAAGTTGTATAATCTTTGTATAATCTCTCTAAATGTTTATTTTGTCATTGCATAAACATGTAGAAATCCAACTTAGGTTTCTTGATGTTTATGAAGGTAATAAATATGCTTGTATATCTTGTTAATATGTAGTGTACAACACTCATTGCTATGCATTTTGGAGAAAATTTGACCTCAACGAGAATTGGTTGAATTCTCTTGTTTGGTGCTCTTCCCCCTATCCCTATAGCTTCCATTACATCTAGATTATTATAATCCATTACCCTAGTTCTTACCTTCTTTTTCAATCTCATGTGTGCTTCTTGCCTACTTCTTAGTTGAAAAATAATATCTGGACTTTAAATTTTCACTTCCAGCTTTTACTCTTTACACACAAATTCTTGATGTAAATATTTTTTCATACCCACACAATGAAGATAAATTTCCATTGCTTGTCACATCGGAGAGTAGAAGTGAAAAGTAGAGAATTAAAGTATGTGTAGGAGAACTCTTTCTAGGTTTAATGCATGCCTGACCTTTTTTGCTATTGTGTATTACATGTCATCACCTCAACTAATTGATGACGACATTTTATAGCAATATTTACTAATTGAACATGCACATGCCATTTCACGCATCATTTCATTCACATTAACCCTTATTTTTACTCATATCTTGGTATGATATCGACAGAGACAAACAAAGATGTTTGTTCACTTCGACTAGAGACAAAGAGGGGAGTCTTCATCTCCTGGATAGAGATGAAGAGACACTCCTCACCGCCAAGCCAAAGACAAAGCAACACTCTTCATCGCATGATCGAAGACAAAGAGAATCTCTTCATCTCCAACCCAGAGAGATGAATAACTTACTCATTCGTCTCCGGTGTGAAAACAGTCTCTTTGTCTTCCAATTGGAATTGAAGAAAGAGAAATTAATCTCTAAGTTGGAAACAAAAAACATACTCTTTACTCTCTCAAAAACAAAGAGGCCTATTATCTCTAGTTGGATCAGCATTTTACTTGAAATATCGATCATTTTGATTTAATTGTTAACTAATTCAAAGATTTAATTACACTTCCGTGTAAAATTCAATAGCATATATGACAATTGTTTCATAGAATAATAAACTCTTTGAACTAGACATAAAATGATAGACTTGGAAATGTCTTCCTTATTTGAAGGGAAAAATCACAAAAAATACAGTCATACTAAAGCATTTTTGGTAATAGATTTCTAAGAAAAACGCATAGAGTTCATAAGTTTGTACACAGGCCTCCAAAAAGACAGCTCGACACCAAGTTTTAAGGTAGTATATATATTACTAATATAACAACAAACACTATTATGTAAAGGAAGAAGAGCAATTAACAACTCATGATCTGCTCAACTATTTTTGCTTGGTTTTTCTTTTGTCAGATTCCTATATTTTATGCCAGGCCCCGGAGAGATCAACTCACTTCAACTCGATCTCTATGGTCAGTAGACGCTTGAAGGTCATGAGAATCCCGGAGTATAGTACACTGAAGATCCAAGATGCCTGGAGGTGTCTGATGGAGATGTTAGAGATCGCGTGTGGGCTGTACTCGAGCTTTCTGGGCAACGATTCCACTGAACAGGAATGGCAGCAGAAGCATTCACTCCCCGAGCTGCTGCAAAACTAGCATTGCGTACAACTCCTGATCCAGTGTAGGAAGAGGGCTCGTGGGGGGACTTGTAACCGTAGAGATCTGCATAGTTTGGGTTATAGCCCGAGGGAATTGGGATGCTGACTGGATATCTCATTCCCTTGCCGTTAGAGGCATCAGGGACTACGGTATTATCTTCACTCTCTGGATTATCATCGATCACGATTATTTCTCTGATGCCAGAGCCTGCATTCTGAGTATGAGCAACAGAACTTGACAATGGAGTCTTGGGATCATATCCAATTTGTTCAGTGATCAAAGTGTACCCCTCATGACGACCAAAGGAGCCCATCAAATCGCTGCCAACACTCTTATTACCTGAGAACATGGGTGAATGAAGCCTCTGTGGTGTGGTGGAATAGCTACTACCATGACTTTTGTAACCACTTGACAAGCTGACATCAAGATTCTGAATCCTAGCCGAGTGAGAAACAAAAGACCCCTGAGGATCGGAATGATGAGAGTTTTGAGGATCCCCACTTTGGAAGTTGTTCCCACAATGAATTCCAGGAACTGCTGAAAACTGCATATTTGCCTCGGTCATGAAATTCTTCTGGGATGGCTTTTCTTGTGGGGATAAGCTTTCATCTTTGTTAACTACCAATAAGTTCTTTCCCATCAGCCTGAGAACAGGATTAGAAGCAGATGGACTCACCGAGCCACAATCAGTGCGACATGGGACCTTGACCTCAGTGTCAGCAGAAACTTTAGTGTGATTATATACAATAGGTAAATTTGTCTCGTGTATCTGGGGACTTGGACTCGGATCCTCCATATTAACCACAAAACTGGGGTTATCAGGTCTTCTACTTGAAGAATCGCCACTCTGTAGCTTTTCACTCGCAGGAAGTGGGGTAGAAGACATGGTTCGCCGCTGCAAAAGTGGTGAGTCTTGATAGCTCAAAGCAAAACTTTGAGATGCTCCCTCCTTGCGTGCACAACAGCATGGCTGATCACTTTTAAATCTGAAACCCTTTTTAGGCAACGTAACATTGATCTTCATATCATCTAAGTCACACCTTTCCTCACCTGCATTTATGGTCCCAAGAACTGCAGAATTTTCCACTACAGGATCAATGCTATCATTGGAGAAGCTGGATTTGTTCTTTTCTATGCCAGAATAAAGCCTTGTATTTCCAGCTGACTTCTCTGAGGACCTGGAATCGGATCTGGCCACCGTGAAGTTGGAGAGTGTAGATGTAGCAGAAACTGGGGAATCCGATGAATCCCTATCAACTAACTCAGGATGGTCTTCAGAAGATTGAAGTCTGCTGCTGGTCAGTGATGAATTTCCTTGAAGGTCTTCTGAACACATACGACCAGGACTCGGTAAAAAGGATCCAGGTGGTCCTGGTATAGGAATTGGGTCAACCTCAAGATGATAATACCCATGGAACTCACTAGACTCGAGCTCAGTATCTACATGTATATCCGGTGGAACAACAGTCTTGCCAATATCAGCTGCAGAAAACATCTCTTGATCATCACCCGAAACTAGCATGGGTGGAGGTGTTTGACCACAAACAAAGGGCCTTTCAAACTCCTCGCCAAATAACTGTGCATCAGCATGAGATTTAGGAGGACTATCGATTCCAGAATGTTTGCTAAAACTGATGAAGTTTCTACCAGCAGCCAAGTCTGAGGATGTCTCAATTTCATTGTCAATCCGGTTAGTTTCAGTATCATCATCCTCAGCACATGCTAGATCATCAGATTCACCTGCCGAATCACAATCAAAACTGAAGGAAGAGCTATTATTCTTCCCAGTATCTTGAATACAAGGCTCAGCAGTGCAATGTGAACCCCTAATGCCCACAATTTCATCCTTCTTTGACTCCTCCCTCTTCTTTCTGATCTTCAATACCTTGGATGTCTTAGCATCACTCCTAACAAAAGCTTCATCCTGTCTGGCTTGAAATTCATTCCGGTTATCTGCTGAATCATATTGTTCATCATATTCTTCTTCATCGGATTTGGACATGCAAGGAACCTCGGATTTCTTAAGTCTGCATTCAGGACCAGATGCTTGGCTAACCAACAAAAGGTCCTTCCTTAGGGATGAGAACTTCTTAGCCTTTGAGGAGAATGCATGACTATAGGTAGATGTTTTACAGTTGACAGTGAAATTATTATCAGCATTCCTCAGTGGAACTGCATTCCCATCAGATATCAAATTCCTTTGAGAGGAAGCACGGTTAAAATCATTGGCAGTGCCCCGACCACTGTGATGGGCTGAATGGTCATCTGCTCTAAAATACTTTGCTTTGCGCTTTTGTAGCACAGATCTCTTATTCCTGTGAGATATTTGAGAGTCTACCAACGGAGTCTTTCTCAAATAAGGCTGCTCACTGTGATCATCATCCTCTAATCTCTTGTGGCTTTTCTGAAAACAAGCCGGCTTTACAGGTGAGTTTAGGGGTCTCAAACTGCAGGTCCGGTTGGCATATGAGTTACCCGGACGCTCATGCACTTCATTACCCAAGCCACCTCCCGAGCCTTGATGATCAAACATCTTCCTTGTCACACCAGTGCGCTTGGAACATGTCCATTGTCTTATGGTTCCCGATCCACTGAACTTACTGTTATCTTGAGATCTTAGGTGCTGGGTCAGGCATTCCCCTTTCTCAGTATTTTGCTTCCGAACGAAACTTCTTTCTCGAGCACTGTCAATCTGTTTTCACAATAGTGAATAATTGAATATAGCTAAATCTTGTATTGGTGATGAGGAAAGTGAAAATCAGTTCTATAACAAAATGCATAAAATCAAAATAAGGTCAACCACCAACTTTTCTTCAGTAACAAAAAACAGTCTGAAAATTATGGGCAGCAGAAAGGAAAGAAAGGATGCCATGGGATTAATGAAAGTTGGAAGATGAAATCACCACAGGGATTTTATACTCTTTTTTTTTTAAGACTGCAAGATTTATTTTGGTGTTAGATGAACCCACCTTCCCCATGATTTAAAAAATGGGACAAACCACCCATTAACAGATTTGTTTATTTCAGTTGAAACACAAAAGTTAGGTGGTCAAACATACCTCTGAACTGTGTGGACTGCGAGAGCAAACTTTTTTGCTGTAAGCAGCAGATTTCAGAATTTTGTGATATTTCTGGGCATGACTCTTATGCTTCTTCTTCTTCTTGGTAGAAAGGAATTTGGACCCCTTATCATTTACAAATTTCTTAGGAGCAGAATCATGGAAAACCCTTGAGCATCCAGCTTCTCCATCATTGAACTTTGAAAGAATCCGAAGCTTAGTTCCATTGGCATCAATATAGACTGCACCTTCATCGCATGTTTTGTCAAGATTCATGGGTGACAGATTTTCAGTTTTATTATCAGCACATCCATCCGTCTCTTCTGCAACAGCAATGCTCGGGTAAACAGCAAAGGTTGTTCCATTTCTTCTATCAAGGTCTTCCAACGTGCAGCTTAGAGCAGTTTCATAGATATCCACCATCAGTCTTGTTTTCCTTGGCTTCATCCTATGCTTGCTCACTTCACAATTCGAAGTCCACTTGATTGTTGACTCACTAGAAAGACACTGATCAATGTGGGCATTCAAAGTGGTGTTTGAAGAGGATGAAAAATTCTTGCAAACCGGGCATGTTTTTGAAGCCATTGATTCTGAAATAGTGAAATTACTAGTTCTGGTATCTTCTTCTGCACTTTGGGCTGCTGGGTTGCTCAGTTTGACTGTTAAGCTGCACTTCTTAGCTGAAGGAAGCTTGTTTGGTCCTCGCGTTTTTGTCGATTCTGGCAGGATATTAGTTCCAAATTCCAAGCAAGAACTCCTAGTAGCAGGAACAGAATCAATTTCTGAACAAGACTGGCTAGTTGTTGCTAAAGGATAGGCTTTATCTCCTTCAGATCGGACTGAATTTATTATGTTAACAGATTCAGAAGCTAATTCAGAATCGCGAGAAGTAACAGGCAAGGAATAATCACTTGGCCTGCAGCAATCTCCATCTGAAACGATTATATTCTGTTTATCAACAACCGAGGTGTTTTCAACCACAGGCTGGTTTCTCAAATTGTCAACAGACTGAAAAGGTGGCAACAATTCCTTCACACCATGATCCAAACAAAGCTGGAAACATTTCTGAGAAAAAGGCCAATTGGTCTTGATATTCTTGCTCCTGGAGCCAAAAACATAATCCCTGCAACATCATAAACAAAATCACTTCTGCAAGATTGAAATTATGCAAAAAACAACAAGTTAACAACTAAAGCTGCAAATTTTGCAGGATGAAAGGACTAATTGCTGGACTCTGGTAATTTGCAGCAAGCAGTGGGCCATCATCAAGAATGAAAAACAAATCAGCAATCCATGGAGGGGAACAATCCATATGAACACACATGAAATCACCACAAAGAATAGCTGGTCCAAATATAGAAATCCAAGAACAAGTGCTTCCAGCTGGTAGCTTAAAACCCAAAACCAAAAGCTAAGAGCTTGAGGAAACCCACAACAGCAACCAACTAAAAGATCAGATGGTTTTTCTTCATTTCCTAAAATCAAATCAAACATTTACAGCAGGGATTTGTGGAGAACAATCACTGTGGATCTGACCCCAAGAAAAGTCTGAGAAAAAACACAAGACCCAGGCAGGCAGGCAGGTAAATTTGGTGTTAATTATTATGATATAGTTTTACCTTATGGAGAAATTTGAGGGTGGATTATTGCTGTTTTTGTCATCAAGGGCTGACTGGGACAGATCTACCTTCTCAACAAGCTTACCAGAAGAAGAATCCCTTTCATCACCACTACTACTTTTCAGTGGAGAGGTTAGCTGAGAACATGGGGGATCTGCAGGTGGAGGGTTTTCAATGGATAACATCTGCTGATAAGCTGTCTCTCCCTGCTAATCTTCTCCTTATTCTTAACCTTCAGCATAACAGTAGCCTAAAAGGCCTCTCCTCCTCCACAAAGATCCTCAACTCAAAACAACCCCACCTCCACCACCCAAAAATAGAGAGACACACAATCAGCAAATCAAAAGATGATGATATCTGTTCCCCTTCTTTTGATTCATCAACTCAGCCTGCAAGATTAGAGGGGAAAACAGTGAGTAATTATAGCAAGTAAAACGTTATTAAGATCATCACAAGAGTTTGAAGAAAGACCCAGGAAATTAAGGACAAAAGGACACCCAGAAGATTCTAGACCCCTCCACAAACGTTATCTTATGTGGCTAACAAAGGCAGGTGAGTGAATTTGAAGCATCTAATTTTGATTTGGAATGAATTATCTATCAACAGAGTAGAGGGAGGGCTTTTGAAAAGGCTGATTGAACAAGGAAAGAACCAAATTTGGGAAAGAGAGAAACCCACAAGCAAAGCTTATGAGTGGAGATGAGGTGAGATCAAACCTCATGAAACGTTATTTTATGTGGGCAAACCAAGACAAAGTACATGAAATTTCTGAAGCTTTTCAAGATGGGAAACAACTAAGCACTCGAGCACTTGGAAAATCAAGACCAAACAAAACTATTCCAGATGGTAATCAAGACAAGATCAGATTTCCACTAGAATGATTTGATTTTTTACACTCTTCTAGACCTACCAAGGAGTAGAGACCTAAAACAAGAAATGAATCAAAGTAAAACAAGAGAGATTTCACATGAGATTTCAAATCTTTGGTCTCCCATGACCAGTAATAAGCAAGACTAGACCAAAAACCCACACACCAAATTAACTTTGAGTTGATCCAAAACTATGCCGGAGGAGACTTCAATTTTTACAAAAACCCAGATCCTGAAAGTCACAACAAATTTCAGGACCCAACCCTCAGCAAAGATTCAAAACAGCTCAAAATTCAAAATCAAGCAAGCAGATGCATCCCACCACTCACCAAACAACCGGAAACAAGCTAAGATCTCACAAGAAATCAACTTTGGTATGAGATGAAGAAGAAGAAGACTACCCAAAAGAGGGAAGAAACCCCAAAATGGATCCCCCACACCCACCACTCCGCCGACGGTATCAAAGAAGAAATAATAAGTAAAAAGAAAAGAAACAACCCAGAAGGAGAAGAGAAACAACAGACCAAAAATCAGTGGAACTCAAGACAACAAAAAAAACCCAGTGACGACAGCACCAGCTCGAAGCTCTTCTTTGAGTGAAAAAATGGTAACTTTTGCAGGTAGACTGCGCTATAATACCAGAGACATAGAAATATAAAGAGAGAGAGAGAGAGAGAGAAAAGGAGATAGAGAGAGGATATGTGTATATACAGTGGAAGAGAAAACAGCACCACCCACTCACACATCAAAGGGGCATCAGGTTCTTCTCTCCACCAAAAAGCATGCTCGTACAATTAAATACCACACTAATCAGTATTCATCTCCTTTTACCCCTCTTCTCAGTTCTCACCCCCCTACTGTGAATTTACAAGAGAGAGAGAGAAACGGGGACGCGGAAGGGAGGGTAGTAGTCTAGCGCTACACACTACGAAGCTGTCCTATCCTACACCTACTCTACCGGTCGATTCATTTTCCTTTTTTTTTTTTTTTGCTGCCATTATTAATAATTCTTGATTCTTGATTTTTCCATATGTACTGTGCTTAAATGGCAGTTTAGGCCCCACTGTTTTGTTTATTTACACAACAGCCACGCTCCCCTTTTATTTTCATTTGTTTTTCTTGCTACACGACAATGCCCACATGATGACAATCATAACCATGCTCGACATTCAACTTCAATTAGTCATTTGTTGTTTCCCCTTTCTCCTCTTTTTTTTTTTTTTTACTGCTGGTCATCTAAGGCCGTAATTTATTGCTTTTTTCCCCTCTTGTCGACATTAAATAAATGCCGTTGAAATTTTTTACGAAATTATTGTTCTATACTGTACATTGCGTATGTACATACGTCGAAAGATGAGTTACACCACCGAATTGCACCGAATTGAACATGCACGAACTTATCTCAATAATACAATACATAATATTTATAAAAAAGAAAAATTATTATTTCCGTACTAAAAAAATTACGTATTTATATTACAATAGACTCGCATGGTGTAAATAGCAATGGTTATATTGAGCATGAACTATAGTGTATATTATAACATAAACAACTTATATACAAATTCGTTTTAGTATATTGTAGGCACAATTTTAATATGTTACATTTTTTAGTATGCTCGCTATATTTTTCATTATTGTATTATAGATTTTTTTAGAGATTTGTATCATGGCACTAAAGTCATACCCAAACAAAAAAATAAATAAATAAATAATGATGAATTGTCTAAGAAAATTGGAGTAAAATATATTAAATAAAAAGATTATGAATTTTTATTAATTAACTATTACGTAGTACGTACAACGTCAAGTCTTGCTATTATAAAAGATTGTTTATTAGTAATTCAAATATTTGACTATTTTGGTTGAATCTAATATAACTAAGCCCCAAATTCAAGTCACCTAAAATGTAGGGTTTGATCATAAGACATTATGATTTGATTTTGCCACATTCACTACTGGAAATTCTGAAATTTCCGACCACCTGAAAGTGATCTTAAATCAAGTTGAAAGTCTTGTTCCGACCACTTTTGGTATCCGGAAAAACCTTTGTTGCTATTTCCGACCCCTTTTTGAACTTTTTGATATCAACTTAATTTAAGATCATTTTCAGGTGGTCGGAAATTTCAGAATTTCTAGTAGTGATTCATTCTCATACTTGCATGTACATATATATATATATATATATATATATATCTTTATTGCAATATTGTGTTAGAAAATTAAATGCAATATTACGCAAGGTCGGCATATTACAAAATTTAAATAAATTTAAATAAAGAGATAATAAAATAGATAAATAGTTGATATTAAGTGAAGATATTAGTTTGTGGTGCATGTTGACCTAATAACTTGAACATTCTTTATATATATACTATATACAAGTATGTGTGCATTGAGTTAACCCCGATCTTGTGTAATAATGATGGGCTCGACTAATAAAATGTTGGCAGTAATTGGACTTGTACGAGATCAGAATTATGGTCTACTCACTCGTCCATCCATTTTGAGGCAGTCATATACTCAGAGCCACTACTGTGACTAGGTAAACTTTCGCTCTTGTATAATAGCCATCAAATCATATATTAAAGATAAATCACACTAGAAAGACGTACACTATGCATGCAATCAGTTAAATTGAGAGGATATCGTTAATGATTGAATCCATGACCATCTGTGGAAGAATCATGATATACCAACTCGGCCACCTTTTTAGGCACAATCATATACATTATTGAATGCAATTGGTGTTTTATAAAATACTAATCAATATATATTTTATGATGATAAAATTCGTAGTTACTATACGATAATGTACACATCTTATTTACAAGTGTATAATATTCCACACTTTTTATTTGTAACACATATATTATATATAATTTTTTAATATAGTATCTGTTCATAACTATTTTATCAACTTATTGAAGCACAAAGAGTCAATAACGCTTTCACTGAGGCTCTAACTCACAACCTCCCATATAAGAGTTTAACCCGTGTGCCATTAGAATATAAGTTCTTGGCATATATTATATATACTTGAATTCTGAATGATTACATATTTAGGTTCAGTAGTCCTAATTGATACAAAGAAACACAAAATGCATGCATGTTACGCTTCATATATCGTATTTTATTCTTAATTTATTTACTTTTCAGTATGGAGACAACAAATATAATATTTTTAAGCAAAGTGGGTCTTTGCAGAATATCCAGAAAAGCTGGGGAAATTACACAGAATATTTGTCAGATTTTGCACCACACCCTCCCCCTTCTTTTCCTTTTCCCCCTTTTCTTTTAGGCCAAAAAGTGGTGCACCATAAAACCTCATCTCCAGTCAACATCTTTTTTTTTTTTTACTAATTCAAAAAAATGTAATATTGTGATTAACGAGCTCAATTTTTATCAGCACTCTTTTAATAAAATTTGTTACTCTTTTATCATCACTTTCCTTTCTGGATGTGGAACCTTGGTATGTAATGATCAGTTGAACATGGTGAGATTATGTCTCGTTCACTAGACGGAGTATGCTCTCTATTTATAGCCACCTTAGATAGCATCGTATTGTTAAAAAAAAAAAAGAAATAAATAAATATATGGTGAAGAAATAAAATAAATAAAGAATTTAGGCCGCCATGGAGGAAGAATAAGTGGGCCCCATTTTGAGGAAAATAAAATAAAGGGATTTATTTATATATTTTGAAAGCTAAAGAGAAGGAGACTGTTGCCGCATCATACAAGTAACTTTACTAATACTAAAATAATTCATTCTTGTCCATCAGATGTTTAGATTTTTTTTTTCATTAAATAAATTAAATAATTGGTTAAAAAACATTGTGTGTGTCCATCTTCAAGCTCCCCCCACTCCCAATATATTATCTACCGCACACGTTTACGTAATTTGATGCATCATCTTATGTGATATTTTTATTCCTCTTCCATTTATGGTCACACAAACATATATGTTCGATCAATACGTATATGTATATCGTATATTTTTTTTTTTTACATGATAAAGTTCACATATTTTTTAGTTACGTTGTATTCTCACGTATTATATGATTTACCTTATATATCTTGTACAAATTATAAATACCAATTTTTTTTTTTACTTTGATTAGACTCCTTTAATTTGATGATTCCAAAATATTCATAGAAATATTTAAGTCCCTCATTCACTCCTACCATTCAAAATATTCTTCTCAAATTGAAGAATCTCATTTCATTCGTATCCAAATTCATTTATTCCACCAAAATTACGGTTAATTTATATTAAATTGACTTTTGTTCCAATCTTTTCCCACTTGCCCTTCCAACTTACTTAATACGTAATTTTGCCTACTAATACATGCACTTGCTCCTATTATTATTTCCGTTCTTATCTTTTGATAGTAACCTTACAGTGCGGCAATTATTATAATTTTTCTTTATTTTTTCTATATTTTAATAGCGAGGGCACTCAGTAAACCATATTCCTATGTAATAACTCGCAACCCATACAAGAGGGATAGAGATCAATAGTTATGCTGTGCAACCGAATGTACCATAAGCATGGTGCATACGATTCAAAACGACGTCGTTTTGATTAAAAACGCGCGTCCTACTTTAAAAAAAAAAAAATCAGGTTCGACTCTCAGCAATAACATTATTGTGGATATATAGTTATGAAATTGTGGATATATAGTTATGAATTTATGGATATTTAGTTCATTCATTGTGGATATTTAGTTCAATCATATATTGTGGATATTTAGTTCATTCATTGTGGATTTTTACTTCATTCATTCATTCATTGTGGATTTTTACTTCATTCATTCACTGTGGATATATAGTTATGAAATTGTGGATATATAGTTATGAATTTATGGATATTTAGTTCATTCATTGTGGATATTTAGTTCAATCATATATTGTGGATATTTAGTTCATTCATTGTGGATTTTTACTTCATTCATTCATTCATTGTGGATTTTTACTTCATTCATTCACTGTGGATATATAATTATGAAATTGTGGTTATATAGTTATGAATTTCTGGATATATAAAAATGCTATTGCCGAGAATCGAACCTGATTTCTTCTTTAAGTGGGACGCGCGTTTTTTTAACCAAAACGACGCCGTTTTGCAACCGTATGCACCTTGCAAGGTGCATTCGGTTGCACAACATAATTTGCGGATAGAGATGGCAATGGGTCGGGAAGAGCTACATCAATCACTCAACCCACCTTATATTTTCTCCACCTACTCCCACCTTCAACCCGCATCGGGTGGACTTTTTCAAAACCTACCCCTACCCCAACCGGGTGCGGGTCCCCACTACGGGTATCCACCACTTATCATCTTATTATATTCTTCAAAAAATATATTTAAATTACTTACACATAATAAAATAATAAAATTCATTAGTGATACTAAAACATAAAATAATAGAAATATTTAAATATAATAACTAAATTGTTAATTTTTAAAAATAAAATTAGTAGTTTAGATATAAAAAATAGTAAAAAGATATACGAAGTTATATACATTTTTATAAATAACTACATACTAATACTTATTTTACTATTATATATATACACACACATGGCGGGTCGGGTGGGGTTCTATGCGGGTTTTGTACATAGAACCCGAATCTAACTCGACCCACTGCGGGTTTACTTTTTTAAAGACCTACCCCGACCCACCACCCACCATCACCCAAAAAATATGATCCATGCGGGGTGGATCTGGCCCACCACCCTCCATCACCCAAAAAATCTGATCCATGCAGGGTGGATATCCACATGACGGATTGAAATTGACATTCCTAAAGAGAGATAAATCACATTAAGATGACTATATGCGATGAACTCAATTGGAAAGGTATTGGCAGTAATCAAACTACATTTTAATATAATATTCCTGCTCTACCTACTCACCACTCTTTTCAGATTTATTTTTTTTTTGGTCTTTTCTTAGTTTTACGAGGGTGACAATAATTATACATTAATGGTAACTTTATGAAGTGCACCATTTTTATGTAAAATGGTTTAAATTTTATGTAAGTTTAATCTTTTCCTTGAAAACTGTCAGCAAATAATTCGTTACAAGCTTGACATTTTTTACAAAAATAAAGTGCGAACATTTTCGCAATAGCCCGAAAACCTCCCCACTTATTACAGACTTATATTATATATAAAGAATATATATATATATATATATATATATATATATATAAAGTAGATTTGGGCGGCCAGGGATATTGAAGTAAATAGAATTCCTTTTCAGTTTCTCGCAAATCGAACATCCGTGGGGGTTCCATTTCCGGTCTGGACGGTGGCTTGGACTGGCTTCTACTTAACTAATTAGATATAGGAGCCTCAGTTTTTCTATTTTGTTTTTTTTTTAAAAAAAAATTCTTACCCCTTTTATTTTTTCTCTTCCTAAATTTCCTTTATGAGATGACTTCTATTTATTACTCTCCTTAACTTTTAATAAAAAAATAAAATGACTAATCAAATAATGTCATGTCAAGAAAGAAAATAATGATGAAACAAATTTTAAGAGTGCATAACATTATTTTTTAAAAAATAAAAATAAAATCTTAATAAGATTAGTAAAGACCTTAATTCAAGTGAGAAAAAAAAGGTGAGTTGGATGAGATCTTACCAATTAAGGAGATCAGGGAATGAAAAAAGAGTCACACATTTGAATTGCTACCCAAAAAGAAAAAGGATGAGATCTTAATCTCCCGTTGAATTGCTATTAGCACCACAATTAGTCATGACATTTGGTGCATAAGATTATGTATTTCATTCCGACTAATAAAGAGTGAACATGATGAGTTTCATGACCTTCATTATCAGTTATTACGCATAATATAATGATCTATCCTATTCCAATGGCGTCTCCGATCCGTCCAGCAAACATTTTCTCTGGAATAGCCTTCAGGACCCCACCGTCCAAACACTCCGTCCTCTATATTATTATTATTATTATTATTTAAACATGGCCACCGTCAGTTGAGATGGCGCTTTAGTTCTATTCCACCGTTATGTTTTTTTGAATGCGGTGGCCATGGCTGATTTGGCTCGATCAGGAGGCGGCCTTCAACCTGGATATCTGATCTGGAGTGCCGAAACCCAGGTCTATGAGTTGTAATCACTGCTCAGAGAGCTCTGAAACTAATCTCCGGCCAATCGACGGTCGAGGATGACTGCTCCAACGGCTATGGCGGTGGGCCTTTCGCGATATGATGGAGATGACGTTGACGGAAAGCTTTATGTGCAGTGCCCATGAAATTACTAGAATGCCCAGAATTTTGTCTGCACATAAGCCTGTCTGTGCCTGTGATATTTTTCCATATTGCTTTCCGGCACACTACGTGCTAATTTGGTTAAACCACTAATGTATTAGGCTATCTCCCCAATGCAAGTCTGACTAAGTTGCAAAATTTGCAAGTCTACCGTGTCAAACTTGCAAAGAGAAAGGCAAAGTGTAATTTAAAAAAATGACATGTAAGCTTTGCAATACCCAAAATTTCATGGGTGTGGATGGCCTTATGTAACAAATCTCATGCCACGTTTAAAATTATAATTGGCTCCTTGATATTACTACAACAATGAAATTGCAAGGTGTTGGTATTAAAGTTACGAGGTAATTGATCGGCAGGTCAACACAATTGTAAAACAACGCTAGAGAGCAAGAATGTCATAAACACATTGTTGCTAGAGAGTAAGCCTTCCTAAAGTGATTTTGGATTTATTTCATAAATTACAGGATTCCTTTCTTAATGCTAGAGAAGGAAATTTCGTCTCAAAATCTGGAAATAATCCCAAGATATTGTCTTGCCGCGTATGGGTCTTGTCATCCGCATTTCCCTTACTATCTACTGACCACCCGCGTCCCGCTGCCCAGCGGGTGGTCTCAACTAGATAACCCTCTCGGGCATCCACCGACTAGGGGATCCCAAGATATTGCCCCTGTCGAGTATGGATCTTGTGATCCACCTTTCCCTTACGGTCTACCAACCACCCATGTTCAGTCGCGCCAGCAAGTAGTCTCGACTAGATAATCCTTTCAGACGTAACCACCCATGTTTAGTCGCGCCAGTAAGTAGTCTCGACTAGATAATCCTTTCAGACGTTCACCGACCAGGTACCATACCCGACTATCCATTACAAGATATGACACTTGGCCGAGAACAAAGAAGAGGACTTGACACTTAGGGTGTGTTTGGTTTGCACATGAGAATGTGAATCAAATACTTGGTAATGGTAATGGGTTTTGGTGAAAGTGTTTAGCATATTTGGTAGTATGGTGAAATTGGAATGATTACCAATATTGTTGTTTGGTTATGTATGATCCTATAATGTGAATAAAGGTTTTAAAAATATAAAAAAAAATAAAAATAAAAAATCAAGACAATTTTTTCTAATATAAGACATCCAAAGCACCAATATGAACAAAAAAATAAAAATAAAAATAAAAATCTAAAAGCACTAATCCAAACTAATCAAATTACCAATTAGGAGGGTGAATAATGGAAAGGAAACCTTATTTTATTAGAGAATGTGTTTTCTAATTAAGTGGATAATAAAATCTCATAGTAGTGTTCTAGAAACCTGTCAACCAAAAAATAATAATAACTTTGATTTCCATTCTTGATAGCTAACCCCGTGAACCAAACACACCCTTACATTGCCTGGTCAATGATATAGAGGAGATCTTGACCATGACTCGTGTATGGTGTAATAATTTTCAAAATTTCATAATATAATGGATGTCTACGTTGCCATCCATCTATGTGCAGTTTGACCGCCACATAACCAAACCAAATTCACTGCATCTGCTGCATCATCATGGCCATAACACATCTCACAAGATTCACATGGACACCACAACCCCAAAAAATAAAAATAACGTCAAATCACGACCATCATAACATATACATCTGCATGTGACTCGATCAACAAGTTCGAACATGGAACATAAACTTTTTATCTGTTTATGTAAGAGAAGATCGAACAAGAATCATACATACATACATGCATGCATGCATACACCCGCATCTACGACCAGTCGGAGAATCAGTTGCATGAGATGACGCATGAACGAAGAAAAAGCTAAAAACAATCCACATGCCGTGCTGGTAATCCACCATACTGTGTCATTGCGCGCAAAAAAAAAAAAAAAAAAAAAAAAAAAAAAAAAAGAAAAAAACCCCAGACATTAAGACTTTACGTTAACGGATAACTCAAGAATGGTGTTCTTAGATACAAGTTCCTAAACTGCAAACTATGTTTCCAATCCACCTGCAAAAAACCATGGATCAACCCGCATTCTTTCATCGTCCTCTGATTTGCTGGCTTTTACAAGCCGCAGTTTTCACACAAAAAAGTGCTAAAGGATAGATTTTGTCGAGAAAAGACATATTTCGTGAATGGCGAATCAAAATGGATCGGAAGGAAGCACATAATTTGACAACCTTGTATAGAAAGAAGTAAGTTGATACAATTATGTGCAGCATCATGGGAATGCATGACTCGATAGTCACTGCTACTAAAAGATGCACAGCAGTTAAAAGAGCCTAGACAAATGTCTTCCTCATGGTACATTGATCGAGTTAAACCTGGATATAATATATTGCTCAAAACGGCTTCCCGAATTCCTGAGATGGCTGCTCCCAGGCCCTCATAAAGCCTGCACATAATTCACAGAAAAGTTGGATTAAAACACATGCCAAAATGAAAACAGATTATTGCATCTATTTATTGGTGCAGGGTTTTGAATAACTCGGGGTTTATAAAGGTCTCAACATATCAGCAATCAAGACTTTTCATGCCAACTGCTATAGTCAATTTTGTTTTTAACTAAAGGTCATATATACCCGCATTCTCTTTGCAGTAATTTAAGTCTAGCAAATCAAAGTATACCGGCTTATTTTACAAGAAAACGGGCTATGAGAAAATCAACCAAATGCTCCTTAATCATTATAGATATTTGTAAGCCATTAGAGCATAAAAGCAGACAGACATTAGGCATAGCATCATTATATTGCAGTGTTAATTTAAAAAAAAAGCTAAATATAACATTCATACATAGCGTGCAGCTGAATAGTTGTATTTGGTGGATTAAAAGGCAGGAAATACAAAACTAAAATTCAGACATACCTATTGGTATTTCTCCCAAGGACATATATATTGAATCATCATCACCAAGAATTCCCTGAAATAATCAAAATAAAATTAGTCATTTTTTGTAATATGTCAATCATAACGGGTAAATAAGCCATGAATTAGGATTAACTAACTAGCAGCTTGAAATAGTACCTCTCCGTTATGAAGTCCCATATCATTGTGTAGAGCATTCATATCTCCTGGTACAGAGGAGCAGTTTGGCATATCATTCCCAAGTAGCTCCGATATCATCATTCCATAACCATCCTGAACATCAGCAATCTCATTCACATTATGTGCATTATTAGGAAATCCTTCACGGCCCGTGAATCCAGTTACAGAACTGCACAATATTTCAAGATTTAGGAAAGGACTTGTCACCCATCCAAAGAAATAATGCAGAAACCACACAAATGTGAATATGCCAAACAAATGAAGGAAACTGATAAAAGATAAGAAATTCACACTATAGGTGAATCGAAATAGTGCAGTATGAACGTATTTTAAGCATGAGAAAATGCAGCAAGGAAGAGCCAATACGGCAAAAAAGGGAGCTAATGTAGAATAATAACAAAAAGCATAATTTTTAGGAAACCTACCTCCCCAGTTGATTATTGAATGTCTTGCTGTCTTGTTCAGAATCATTTTCCAAATCAATCACTTCAATATCTTTTCCACCAAAGCCGCATTTATTGTATTTGTCCATTAAATTGCAGTTACTGTTGATGGATAAATCAATATCTATAGATGCAGATGGTTTTCCACTTTCAGTAATAGATGGGAAAATGAGATCGGCATCAGAATCATGATTGTCATTCATATCTGAAGCTTCCATAAGATTTAGGTCACATGTTTTAAATGAACTAGGAAAGAGTTGCTTTTCCTCAAATTCAGCACTTTGCATGACATCACCATTTGGAAAAAGAGACACATCCACTAATCTCTTATGTTCAGGTGACAATACTGCACGCTTACCATTTGCAGTCTCTGGCTCATGCAAATTCTGCTGCTTTTCCTTTAAACCAGAATGGTACATGAAAAAATTTGACTGAGTATCATCAGATGAAGCGAACTCTCTAGGTTTCTTATTTTGTTCGTGCCCATTGTCATCATCTAATGCTCTTTTTTGGCCTATTTCTGCAGTGCTGCAATTTCCAAATATAGTCAGTTCCTCATTTTTAACTCCCCCTTCCATTTCTGCGTCATCTGTGAAAGATAAAGACCTTGTAATATTTTCTTCGGCAGCTGGCACAATTGAATTGTCAGAACCAACGGGTTTAATGTCATGATTTTGATGTAATGAAGGATCCGAAGGCATATCTTCAGCGTGGGACCCGAGTTCTGTTGGATGTCCACTCTCATTAGTGTCCTTCACCTCCACCATGGCATTTCGAACAACCTTTGAACTTCTACCTGTCAATGAAGAGCGAGTTTTTGTAGGAATTTTCTCAAATCTGCAAAGGCTAAGTAAGTCAGTGCCTTTCTTGCTTGTTTGAGTATCTTCTTCAGCACGCAACTGGACACGTGAGTCATCTTCAGTAGATTTTTGCTTCATGTCATCATTATTATTGCCATCCTTAACTTCCCCAGCTTCACCAGTTGATGTTTCCATCTTGGCAGACATCTGAATAGGCCCCACATCATCCTTCCCGATACTAGTAGCACTTCCCTTTGTAGCTGTATTACTTACTGAATTGTATTTGCCTAAGGTTAACTCTGAATCACGCACAAAGTTCCCATCAGAATCTGTTTCTGGAATTATTCCAGTTGGAGGGGACTTCTGCAATTCACTATAACTGTCTTTAGTGAATTTCTTTTCATCTTGATAATGCCCCGAGAAATGATCAGGGTGATTATCCACGTCTTGGGAGGCCCTGGATCTATCAGACCACGACCCACTTCTTCCTAAATCTCGGTTCCACTCAGAATCCTTAAAGGATCCATTTCTTCTCCTGCCTCTAATATAACTTTTTGGCCCAATTGCACCATATTCATCAGAATATCGCTTCCTTCCTGGGACTACATCAGCAGCATGGTTCCCCAGGCGAGAAAGAGCAGATGTTCGACTCCCCACAGATACCTGCATATCATCATGATCTCCCTCTTGTGCCCTAAAACCAGAGTTATATCCTAGTGGACTCCTCAAATTACCATTCTGCAACTTCCCCGATAATACACTTTGTGGCAGCAATCCCTTCCTAACCAAATATTCTGCTGCCATTCGACCAGCTTCCATGAAAACATCACTTCTCTGTGGAAAATGCTTTGACTGGCCACGCCCAACACCATCACGATTATAGCTTTTGTACTCAGAGTTGTACATTTCATGGCCTCTCATGGATCCTTCGGGCGAAATTCGCGAGGCTGCAGCTATACGCCCAGCACCTCCCATCCCAATTGAATTAGACCTATTATAAGCAGTTACTGGACTTCTACTATGCCTAGCATGCATGTTTACAAGGATAAAGACCACAGAGCAGACTAAAGAATAAGAGCTGTTTCTTTCTCAAACTCTAAGAAACAACAAATGGACCACTGAATTATTCCCTTGCAAAATGTAAAGCAGTAGTAGCTAGCCAGCAAGAATCCAGAAAGCTTGACAGAAATTTCAACTCCCCCTTTTTTTTTTACCTCCTTTCAGAACACTTGGCGGTAAAAATTTGATCTTTTCTCGGGGGTTCTTAATCAGCCCTAGATTGAACAGTCCCAGAAGGCTAAATCCATGGTTTCACAGGTAACAAAATCAATAAATCAAAGTTCAACTTCACAGATCTGCCGATCTCTGCAATAAAAACTCTAGCACTTAAGACAGTAGCAGTGAATTTAGTTACCTCCAGCTGGTGAAACCAAAAATGTGTTCTTGAGTTAGAAATTTCAGATCCAAGTTCACACCACCATGGTCAATTGAAATCCCTCCTCCATCTTCGTCACAGAGTCTAAAATCTCAAGCTTTAATAAGAACTATTAGCAGGGCTTAGGGTCAGTTTCTGTTTTCATTTTGGAATCCACAGTGTGTCAAGATCAGTCCAAGGAAATATGTAAGAAAATCAAATCACCATGTGAACAAAGATGGTAGATGGATCGAAGAACATAATAGAGATTTACTTATTTTCCATCCATATGAAAATGTAATATTCTTCTCTTTTCTTCTGAAAAATATTTGCAGAGTGGAGAAAATACAAGAAAATGAGGAGAAGCGGAGGGCTACATGATCCACCAAAAGAAAGCTCCTTTGACTGCTTTTGCTCGAAAAAAAATGGCCACGCGCTTCAACATGCCCATTGGGCCTACGTGTCACTCACTCTCCCCGTTTTGTCTTTTTCGCCCCTCATCTTTGCTATAATTTGGTATGAGCCCCAATGTTTTGGAATTAGAATATTACTCCTCCTGTCTTTCATTTCATCTTACTTTCTGTATTTTCTTTTGAATTGGAATTATAATTTTGTTTTTGGTAAATTAAAAAAAAAAAAAAAGTAATTGTGACTGTATAACAGATTTAGGCCGACAACTTCCTGATTCTGATCCGCCTTTGTCTTTTATAGCGATGAGACGTCAGTTTGTGGAAAGAAATTCAGGAAATTCTTTCCGGTCGGGAACGGGGAAACAAGAAGAAAAGAAAGATTAAAACCATGGTCTGGTTCGTCTTATGTTATCGAGAAATCCGGTAAAGACGTGAACTTGAGAAAGTGGTAACCGAGAACGACACCTGAAAATAAAGTTTTGTTAAATCTTTAATATAATTTTCAGGCATACATTGGGTTAAAAAGAAAGTAATCTCTGGGGATTTGCATATGCATATACGTATGTGTTTGTGAGAATATAATGAAGTGAAAGACGAGGAAATGTCAGGCGGCGAGCACGGCGATCAGAATGTGCTGTTACAGCGTCCCGTTTCATCGGCGGCGGCGGCGTCAGAGAAAGAAGGTGATTTGGAGGCCCAGTCATCGCCCAGGACTCCCAACAAAGGCGCTACAGATCTGGTTAAGCGCTTGGATCGAAACTTTTCTGGTCGCAAATCTCCGGCGAGTGTAAAACGGCCGAATAGAGAGCACTCCTCTCCCTCCTCTTGTTCACCGTTGAGTCGCAGAGCCGAAGCCAGTGGCGGCTTTTGTAATGATGCCGGAGAGGATGAAGTCCTTGGAGATAGCGCGCCGCCGGAGTGGGCTCTGCTGCTAGTCGGATGTCTCCTTGGCCTCGCTACTGGCCTTTGTGTCGCCGTGTTTAACCGCGGGGTTAGATCGGATTTTCATTGCTGCCCTGAATTATAGTCAGTTATTGCTTCATTATTTAGTTAATAGTAAAAATGTGAGCTTTCTGTTTTAGGTTCATGTAATACATGAATGGGCATGGGCTGGAACTCCAAATGAGGGTGCTGCATGGCTCCGTTTGCAAAGGCTAGCAGACACGTGGCACCGGATACTTCTGATACCGGTGTTTGGTGGAGTTATTGTTGGCATGCTGCATGGTCTCCTGGGGATTTTGGATCAGATCAGACAGTCCACTAGTCCTTCTCATCAGGGCCAAGGCTTTGATATGTTTGCTGGGATCTTCCCTACAGTGAAGGCAATACAGGCTGCTACAACTTTGGGTACTGGTTGCTCTTTAGGTCCTGAAGGCCCTAGTGTAGATATTGGAAAATCATGTGGCCATGCATGCTCTGTCATGATGGAAAGCAATCGTGAAAGGCGAATAGCTCTTGTTGCAGCTGGTGCAGCTGCTGGGATTGCTTCAGGTATGCATGTTCTTGCAGCTGATGAGTATTTGTAAGATCTGTGATGAATGTGAGATGTAAATTTAGACATTTTAGAAGGTGTTTGTTTATGATTGTGCTCCAGGTTTCAATGCAGCAGTTGCAGGCTGTTTCTTTGCAATCGAAACTGTTTTAAGACCACTGCAAGCAGAAAACTGTCCTCCATTTACCACTGCAATTATTATACTGGCTTCTGTAATTTCATCAACTGTATCAAATGCTGTTCTTGGAGAAAAACAGGCTTTCACAGTGCCCACGTATGATTTGAAATCTGCTGCGGGTATTTGATCTTTATCTAGTTGTATTTGTTATTTGGGTAAGGAAGCTTTAAGTAGTATTATTTCACATGATGTTAACCCAAACAACATTGGGTTTTTGGGACTTAGAAGACAGTTAATTAAAATATAACTTAATTTATCACAATCACATCAAGCAACAATGGTTGTTTTATTTTGTGGGGGAGCTCAATAAGGATCTCTGCCTGATTGTTTTGAGTGTGGTTCCATGCAGAGCTGCCTTTGTATCTGATTCTGGGAATGCTATGTGGAGTAGTAAGTGTGGCTTTCACTTTTCTGGTTGACTGGTTCAGTAATGCTTTTCAGTTCATCAAGGAAAATCTTGGAGTTCCTGATGTTGTCTGTCCTGCTTTGGGAGGTTTAGGAGCCGGAATAATAGCTCTTAAATATCCTGGAGTACTTTATTGGGGATTCACTAATGTCGATGAAATTCTGCATACTGGGAAGACTGCTTCAGCACCCGGGATCTGGTTGCTAGTTCAATTGTCTGCTGCAAAAGTTGTGGCCACCGCTTTGTGCAAAGGGTCTGGTCTCGTTGGGGGTCTTTATGCACCTAGTTTAATGATTGGTGCTGCTGTTGGTGCCGTGTTTGGAGGCTTGTCCGGGGAGTTGATTGATTCTACCATTCCAGGGAATGCTGCAATTGCCCAGTCACAGGCATATGCACTGGTAATCTTATCTGCTTCTTGTTGGGATTATTTTGTCACAGATCGACATGTTATTTTCTGAAATAGATATCCCCTTGCAGGTGGGAATGGCTGCTACACTAGCCTCGGTTTGTTCAGTGCCTTTAACTTCAGTTCTACTTTTGTTTGAGTTGACGAAAGATTACAGAATCTTGCTTCCTCTCATGGTTAGTGTTTGCAACAGAAACATGTTTGAATGTTTGATGCATAACTGCAGAGATTAATGATGTGTTTTTGTACTGTTTTTCTTTGTCAGGGGGCTGTTGGATTGGCAATATGGGTGCCTTCAGTGGCAAACCAGCCAAAGGTGATGGAGGGATCTGCTGCAAATAACTTGTCAAGAGACTATAACATTCTTTCACCCTTTGAAACAAAAAATGGTGCAAGTATTTGGGGCGATACTGCAGAAAGAAATGACCTTTTAGAGCTTCCCATTACTGGAAACTTCGACAATCTCGAAACAATTGATGAAGAAGTGATTCTGGAGAATCTAAAGGTACCTTTCTGATCTGGTGTTTACTGTGGGATCAAGAACTTGAAACAATGAATTTGGTTCTTGTACCATAACAGGTTTCTCAGGCTACGTCTAGTGACTATCTGGCGCTGTCCTTGAGCCAGACAGTGAAAGAAGCTTTGAGTCGTATGCTTGACACTCAACAACATTGTGCCCTCGTGGTTGATAACGAAGGTTATCTGGAAGGAATTTTAACATATAGTGACATTAAACGGAGATTCTTCAAGAACCCTGCAGATTCTTCTACAAACAGAGATATGTTGCATGCAGATGTATGTGTTTCTGCAGCAGTCATTAAAAGTTTTTAGTTCCTCTTTTGTTGTTAAAAGAGTATTCTTTACCAACTTCTGCAGGCAAGTACCTCCCTTGTTTCCTCCATTTGCACGAGAGGGATAAGCTATCGCGGGAGAGAATGTGGTCTTCTCACGTGTTATCCAGACACAGACCTGGCAACTGCGAAGCAACTAATGGAGGCTAAAGGAATCAAACAGTTGCCTGTGATTAAGCGCAGCAGAGAAATTCAAACAGAACGAAAACGCGTAATTGTTGCTATCCTGCATTATGATTCAATTGCAGACTCAGTCAGGTGCTGCTTATATAGTTATATATTGCATTGTGATCACTGCTTTTCATTCCATGTTTTGGTCTAAACTTTAAACTTTTGCAGGAGAGAGATCAATCGCTTGAAATCGATCTATCAGCAGAGAAAAGAAGAGAATTCCAATCAGATGGCTGCAAATGGCCACTGACAACATAAGACCAATTCAAAAACCAGAAAACAAACTTCAAGAGTTCGTTTATTTTTTTAAATTCTGGCCCTTTGTCCTTTCTGCAAAATGTAATATGGCCTCATGGGCTGCCTCCTAAACTGGGGAGTATTTTGCTCATTTCTTGTTGAGTTCTTACATTGTATTTTCTGTATGTGTAATAGGCTTTAACAGTAGCAAATTTTCAAAAATTTCAGATTTTAGACAAATACTGATTGGCATGGCAGAATATGCATTTGTATCAGGTGCCTCTTTTAAGTTTTAAGGCATTCCAAATCTTTGAAGACTATAATTGAACCAAAATTTCAAAATTTTACACTGTACAACTATCCAAATAGAAACATCAGGAGAAAGAAACCAACTTTTGAGTATCAAAAGAATAACAAAGAATGAAATATATGATGCAATAAAATAAGCTGTCTAAGGTTTCTACTACTACATTAAAAAAAAAAAAAAAAAAAAAAAAAAACTGTATGAGGGCGAAGATTAGTAAAATTTACATTTGAGGTCCAAGAGGCAGTCTACTGGTGAATTGTTGATAGACAGAGGAGTCACTAGAGAGATTCATGCCAGGATCTGAGCCAGGCTCCATCTTGGGTTCTGCTTTGGGTCGCATGTCATTCATTGAGCGTTGTTGTCCAAGATAAGAATGAACTTGAGGAACTGGAAATTTGCCTTGGTTAGGTCCTAATCCAGCCATTGCCAGATTGGCAAGGCCTTGCTGGTTCATCCCGAAACCAAAGCCTAGGGTGTGGGCGAGCTGTGGCCCACCAGGAAACCCAAATGAGCCCAGTGAAGGAGGCCTAGCAAACTGTGACATGGTGTTCTGAAGCTGAGAAGGCTCAGGCCTATGCACGTGACCTTGAGTAGCAGTCGTTTGTGAGGGCAGATTGCTGGAAGCCCCTGAATTAGGATGAGTGCTGTTGCGAGCTGCAGGAACATCATGGTTGTGTTTTCCTTCATAGGTGGTAATCACCGACTTCAGATCATGTGAAGCTCTCTCCACGTGCTTCCTAACAGTGCAGCCAGCACTCGTGCACTTGTAGTAACTCCTGGAAAGAGGAAGCAATCAAGCAAGCAAGCGATCACTTTTGGCAACAAGAAGTGATTTTGGATTCTCATACATGATAATGTTAGATGGAAAATATTATGAACCTTGGATTTGGATTCCCTTTGACGACTTTTTGCCCATACTTGCGCCAGCGATACCCATCGTCAAGTATGTCAACCTCACTGGTAGTCTGCACCACCACCCTGGGTTCCCTAATGGCTCTGGTGGCCCCACTCATGTCAGTTGCATAAGTTTCAATCTTCCTAGAAAAATCAGACACATAAAAGTGTTGTCAGGTCTATGTAACATACAATAATTATGTGGGAAATGATATGTTCATTATTGAAGCATGTGCTCCATCTCAACTAAAAGGTAGTTGGATTGCACATTAATGGCTATATGCTCAACACGCCCACCATGTGCTCCATCTCAACTAAAAGCCTAAGCTGATAGTTGGATTGCACATTAATGGCTATATGCTCAACAATTTATATCTTTGGATAACATGAGACACCTTCTCTTTGAGTCATACTCATCTCCTTCACCCTCGTAACCTATTGATACGCTGCCATGTGTTCCACGATCATCTTCATCTTCTTCATTTGAAAAAGGAGAAGACCCCTCCACTGGATCCCTAGATTCAAACTGAGTGCCATGCTGAGCCTGTAAGGTGGCAGATCCATTGCAGTATTCAGATCCTAAAGGTCCTGAAGATGTTACCTCAAGATTGTCATTACCCCAATCAGGAGCTCGAGCACCAGATCCATTTTGCACATTTTCCCAAGTAGGATCACCAATGCCAATAGTTCCATCTTGTTCAGCATTTTCAGATCCAAAAGCTGCCCTGCGATTAGGTGGAGGTTTTTGGTGGTTGTGAGCTCCCTTGTAGATAATCTCTGTAATATGACCCTCATGGGACCGCTCCACTTTCTTCTTGACTGGGCAATTTGGATGTGTGCATTTGTAGTAACTCCGTGGATACTCACTTCCTTTGACCTGTTTCTGCCCGTATTTTCTCCAGTTATATCCATCATCATCAGCAGGAGCACCAACAGCATTGGGATCACCGCCTCCTCGTTGATCTATATCCTCATCCTGCTGCTCATCGGGTGGAGGAGATTGCTCCATACTGCCAGCAACTGTTTGAAAGGTCCTTGGCTCCGATGTGATATTACTACCCCCTTCAGTATATGATCTTGAGAACACAGTTCCACTCTGAGTGTGAACCAGTGTAGGCTCAACCCGTTGATGCACAAGAGGGTTCTTCTCAGAATGGACTGAAACCTCAATACCTGGAACGGGTTGCCAAGATAGACTGGATGGAGGTACCTGTTAAACCAAGGGCAACAGATGAGCTTGTGCTTTATTTAAGAATGAGGAATTATATACTTTCTTGACAGGAGTACTGCAAGTGCTTTGGATACCAGCAAGGAAGAAAGAGAGATTACTTTGCCAATTGTCTCGGGAAAAAGGGAAGGACCAGTTTCAGTTTCTATAACTGGCTTGAAAGCAAAGGATGAGGTGCCATTGTTGTTATCAGAAGCCCCCATAAACAATGCTGAGTTTAGACTGTCACCAATTAAGGGAAATGCAAATTTTCCAGTTGTTGGAGATGATTGGACCTGAAAATAGAAAAATTAAGGTTTGAAATATAAAGTTTATTATAATTTTCAGAATACTTGAAATGCATCAATGCTCACAAGATAAATATATCAGAACATACATTATATATGATTATATCTGTCAAAAAGATGTATACATAAATTGGCTTGTATGTTCCAAAGATGGTTCGCCCAGAAAGTTGTCGTTTCTATAACCTATGCATCTCTCAGGACTGAATAAATTCTTTTAATGCAACATACTTGAGGTGCACAGTATTAGAAGGCAGTCATAATATATCGTTAACTTACCAGAGAATTGGAGAGGAAAACGGGGGAATCTAGCAAGGTTGTTGGACTAAGACCCGGTGGAATTGTGAAGTAAGGAGACCTAAGTTCTTGGTTCTGAACAAGAGCAGGAGGTCGAATGCTATCCGTTTTCAGCTTTGGGATACTGAATCCAGCTCTAGCTGCCATTCTTTCCAACAGACCTCCATGAGAGTTCATATTATTCCGCTCAGATAGTGAACTTAATTTAGCTGTTTGATCACCTTGCGCCCCATTTTTACTATCTGAATTCGCATACTCTTTAGGATCTGGAAGGAGGGGCTGACTTTTATTTTCACTGGTAGGCTCGGCATTTGATCTTGACCCAACATCATCATCGCCCAAAAATGAAGAGAAAAATGCCCTCGGACTTGGACTAGGAGGCACCCAATCTCCCATTATTGGCATATGGTCACCAAAACCAGCCATTTCAGCAGCACTTGAGATTAGCAACTAATGTTAAAGAGCCGCCTGCCTGCAATTCACAAACCTGAAGAAAGATTTAAAGCCACGAGCAATAGATGCAAACAAAATTCTCGAGTGCAGTAATATACAGACACTTTTTTCTAAGGCTGATTTCAAGAAATCCAACAGAACCTCAAAGATTAAAGCTTTTTAGCACCCTAAATCCAACAAGAGATTAATTGGTCTAGCAAACAGAACTTTTAGTGAGTTAACAGGCTGGTCTAGCTTACACTATAATAAGAAAGCTTGAAGACATCCCTCCCATTCACCAATCTTCTTCCTTCTTGTTCCACCAACCAGGTAGCTTTCTGCACATTATCCAACCAGAACACTAAAAAATACCTTCATCTAACAACATAAACCACTAACAAAAAAACATAAAATCTTAATGAACAAAACTGCAGATTAGCAGCAAATCAATTAGAATAGAAAGAACTTGCAAATTCCTTTCACTCAAGATGAGTTAATCATTAAAGCTTGCTAGTTTATACAGATTCTCTAAATAAATTCATGAAAAAAAAAACAAAATGACTACCACTAAATTAAAGGTATACCAACCCACCCCATCACATCAGGATCTAAACAAAAAGAATCAAAACCTAATTTATCCCACTAGACAAAACAAAAAGCTATGAACTTTGAATTGAGCCAAAAAGCCAAGTAATGAGGAGCAATAATTTTGATACAGAAACACCCAGACAAAAGAGAGTAGCAAAGAAAGAAAACCCAGCACAAAACATACACAATCATTTGAAAATGATGATAGATGTTGATTAGAGAGTGACTGTGATGGAGGAAAGCACCCCTGAAATAAGAAAGACATATACCTTCTCCTCAGACTCTTCCTTGCTTACTGCACTGGATTTTCCTTTTTTCAAGCCATGAAATGAATGAAAGAAAGAAAGAGAAAAACAAAAACACCACCTTTCACTCTTTCCTGTCAAAATCACCTCTCTAGAAAATAATATATTGTTGGAAAACAAAAGAAAGAAATTCCTCCGAATAAATCAAGAAAAAATAAACTGTTGCGGAGTGGGGTTTTGTTTGGGTGTGTAATGTGTTATGGTGGACCTGAACAAGCTACGGAATCCATAGACAGATAGAGGCTTGGCTGTTGGCTGTTGGCTGTTGCCTCTCATCTCTCTTTTAATTTAGAAAAATGCGTATAAATTTTTTGGCTCGGGAACACATAATCAAATTTGACCCGCCAATCACACACATCCATGCAAACATGGAAGTTTGACTAAAGTGGCAAAGTTTCCATAAAAGCCAAACAACATCCACTCATTTTTTGCTTAATTCCACTATTACATACCTCTTTCATTTTTATTTTATATATATAATAATGTTAGCCAGAATAGAACTTGTGAAATTAAAAAATGAGAATTATGTTCTATTCACTCAGAATTAGAGGTAGACATCATTATTAAGTGCAAGGCGGGATTAGCAAAGTTACAAAAAGGGGAGCACTTATATATTCACTTAATTGTAGACCATTTATTTGGAACCATTTGGGGCAATATATATAATGTTTGGGGACCACAATTATTATTATAGTATAATAATAAAGAATATTTAGCCAATTACGGAGTATTTATTATTAATCTAATTTTGGTTAGAACAATTATGAATAAACCCAATTATAAATAACGTAGGCATCCTAATTATATAACGTATTAACAGTACATTTACTAATTATTGACTACCAAACAAGGAAAAAGAACGGCGAAATATGAAAAATAAAATAAAAGAATTGGAGAGTAGAAAGATTGAGCCAAATTTTGGCAGCATGCAGGCCAACAGCGCAGCTTAGATTTTGCAGATTATGTATGACGCGGTTAACTATAAACACATCCTTATCGCTATCATTTTCATTAACAGCTGACACCACATTCTTTTCTCCTCCTTATGTTTTTTTTTTTTTTTTTTTTTTTTTTGAAAATCTCCTCCTTATGTCTTCACGTTTAATATAATTTTATGATAAGTTTAATTCAACAAGTGGGTACCACCTTAAAGATCAAAAGAACATAGAAACAACTGCAAATGCACCAAGATGCACAATGTATTGTGCATCCTAGCCCAAAACAACGTTATTTTGAGCCTGTTTTTAAAATAAATAAATAAATAAAAATTTCTTTTTCATGTTTGCTGTTAATTTATTAAAAATATTTCGAATGTACATAATTGTATAACAGAATACACATAATCTTTTTTTGAAAGGATAATACATATACTCTAACATAATAGATAATACACATAAACTCTTAATTTTTAAACAGAATACACATAAACTTCGTCAACTTCCCAAAAACTTAGGGTGTGTTTGGAAACCCGGAAAATGACTTCTGGAAGTCATTTTCCGGGGTTTTGGTGTTTGGTTACATTGGAAAATGACTGGTCAAAGGAAAATGGGGTGGAAGTCAATGGAAAAGGAAGGCAATTTTATGGAAAATGACTTCCCCTTTTTTTTGGGGGAAGTCATTTTCCAACTTTTACACCAACATCATCAACACCATACCACCACCACCACCACTACCAACATACCACCGTCGCCGCCATCTCCACCATACCACCGCCACCACCACCACCATACCACCGTTGTCACACCACCACCATCACACCACCGCCGCTGCCACCACTACCACCATACCACCGCAACCACTGTCGCCACCACTACCGTCGCCGCCACTACCACCATACCACCGCAACCACCGTCGCCACCACTACCGTCGTCGCCACTACCACCATACCACCGCAACCACCGTCGCCGCCATCACCACCATACCACCGCCCCCACCACCACCATACCATCGCACCCACCGCCGCCGCCACCACCACCATACCACCGCAACCACCGTCGCCGCCACCACTACCGTCATACCACCGCCGCCGCCACCACCACCATACCACCGCCGCCACCACCACACCACCGCCACCGCCACCACCACTACCATACCACCGCAACCACCGCCGCCGCCACCACCACCATACCACCGCAACCACCGCCGCCGCCACCACTACCGTCATACCACCGCCGCCGCCACCACCACCATACCACCGCCACCGCCACCACCACCATACCACCGCCACCACCACCACACCACCGCCGCCACCGCCACCACCACCACCATACCACCGCAACCACCACCACCACTACCACCACCATACCACCGCAACCACCGTCGCCGCCACCACTACCACCATACCACCGCCGCCGCCGCCACCACCATACCACCGTCGCCGCCACCACCACACCATCGTCATACTACCACCACCATCACACCACCACCAATTATTATTATTATTATTATTATTATTATTATTATTATTATTATTATTATTATATAACGAATAACACCACTACCACTACACCACCACCACCACCATAATATTTTTGATATATTATTAGTTTTTTTTTTTGTTGAAAAACTTAGCTATTTTTTATTATATTTAAAATTAATATTATATTATTATATATTATTATACATGTTGTAATATTCTAAATAAAATAATTAAAATGTTTAATTATACAATTCTACTCATTTTCTAGAAAATGAACCAAACACACAAAAACAGTTTTCCAGAATGCAACCAAACACCGGAAAGGAAAATGTTTACCGGAAAATGACTCATTTTCCAGAAAACATTTTCCAGAAGTCATTTTCCTGGTTTCCAAACGGACCCTTAATAAAACAATGTCGTTTTGGATAGGGCAGAGCGCACAATACATTATGCACCCTGGTGCACGATATAACGACCGGAAAACAACGTTAAATTATGATTTATGAATGGAGAAGGAATAATGTGCGGGCCCACCAGCATTCCGGGTTCTTAATGGGCCTGAGTTTTGGGCTATGTGCCCGTTTTAATGACAGTATCTTCTAAGAAAAAAGTAGAAAAGAATACAATACAAAGGGGGAAAGGGAAGAAAGAGAAGACAAGAGTCGTGGAAGCGGCATTTTGTGCAGCAAATAGATAGATTGTAGTTGTAGGAGAAAAGGGGTTGATTTCATTTCATGGATGCGACCGGAAATAAGTTCCCCGGCGAGGAAGGGAGTAGGGGAAGGTCGCATTGGTCGTTGGAGAGGCTGCCGGACAGTATTATCAACGAACTTCTGCTAAAGCTGGACTTGGAATCTCTCTGCACCGCAGCTTGTGTGTCCCGGACCCTCCGCTCCGCTGCATCTCAAGTTCTTGCTTCTCGTTCCTCTCTCGATATCTCTGTAAGCCTCTACTTCTCTCTTCCCGATTCATTAGGATCCTTGTACCTCACTGCAATTCATTCAAGGTTTAATTTTTGGCTTAAATGAAAGGTCCAATTTTGAATTGATTATTATCTGGCTTTGGAAGTTTGGAATTCTTGACTTACCTATCACTTTTCAAAATTTCACAGAGAACCTCTTTAGGAATTAGGATATGGTTTTTTGCTCTGGGGTATGTCAATGTGTCATAAAGGTTGAATTTTGATTGATAATTGGCTTCTGAACTATACGTAAATACTTGGGAAAATACTTGCAGCTGCCGTGTTAACAATCTTAAGTTCAGGAATACCAAAAAAAAAAAAAAAAGTTTCCAAGGTGGCACAATATCTATTCCAAATTCTTGATAACTTATCAACTTTCTAAGGTTGGGTTATCATTAACCTTCCTATTTAATTTTGCATTCAGATGGAAACAAAAAGGATTTATTTTCTTACTATAAGCTTGATTTTGAACTGGGCTTTAAAGTTATACATATGAATGTCATTACAGGCATTTTATCCAGACTCCCAGACTTTGCAAAGTATTGTAGGTAGGCTCAAGGGGGTCAAGAGCTTAACCATTGATTGCCTTCGTGTGGATGATTTTTCTTTTATCAACATCCTGGGAGCACAAATCCAGGAACTAAATTTGATCAAGTGTTCCTCACGATCACATCATATTCTTGGTACAATTGGGCATAGGTGCCCAAACTTAAGGTGAACAACCACATGCCCTGTCACTTGTGTTTCTAGACAACTCAAGTCCATGAAGATAATAAGTATATCCACCACGTGTTTGGTGCTTTTCTTGTTGCTGGACTGAGTGTTTATGTTGTTTGCTTCTGTTTGTTGAACCAGGGTCCTTTTAATTGAAATTGCATGGCAGAGAATACCACAACTTATCAAGAGCCTAGTAGTAATGCTTAAAAACATTTCCTATCTGGAGGTAAAAAACCTAATTACATTGCTGCAATTCACTTTTCTTTTCTTATTACTATGATGATCTTTCTTCAAGGTTATTCTTTTCATATACTGAGAGTTAGTACTAATGCACAGTAATTTCTTTCTTGCAGTCTCTATCTTTAAAAATTCATGGGACTGCAGTTGATGTATATGATTTTCAACATCTTTACCATTCTCTACCCACAACTCTCAAAACATTGAAGTTACTTCCAGTGCATGAACAGCATTTTATCCATTCCATACTTAAGTTCAGAGATGACAGACACCTTTTGATACCTGTACCCAGTTTTAGCAATGCTCTACACTCCCACGGCGCTTGCTTCAATTTGAGAAATTTGTCACTTGAGTTACATACTATTTCTGATGAACTTATGTTCTCTATTGTCGAGTCTCTTCCCTGCTTGGTTGAACTGGATCTTGAAGACAGGCCATACTTGGAGCCACAGATGCCTCGTGACCTAAGCAATATCGGACTTCAGTCTCTTGGTGCCTTGCAATACCTAACCACCCTCTCAATTATACGTAACAAAATAAACCTTCCGGTTTCATTTAAAAGAGTAAATGATTTGGGGATGTTTATTCTTGTTGAGAATTGCAGAGGCTTGGAATCAGTGAAACTTGGTGGGTTTTCTAAAGTTACTGATGCCGGTTTCTCATCAATTCTACATTCATGCCAGAAGTTGAAGAAATTTGAAGTTCGCAATGCATCACTTCTGTCAGACTTGGCCTTTCATGATATGCAGAAGGTTGCTAGTTCCCTTGTTGAGTTAAGGTTATTGTCATGCAATCTTCTAACAAGTGAAGCTCTTGAGGAACTCTCATCTTTTGGTAAATTGGAAGTGCTTGACATGTCTGGGTGCAGAAGTATTGCAAACCCCTGTCTTAGCTACATATCAAGCCTTAGTACACTCACAAATTTAACTTTAGCAGGTGCTGATATTACTGACGATGGTCTGGCTATTTTTGGTAGAGGAAGCTCATCGATGCTTACACGTTTATGCATTAAAGGTTGTAAGAGAATTTCTGAAAAGGGAATTCATAAGTTATTTCATGGCGAAGGGAAAATTGGCAATAAATTGTTGTTTCTGGATATTAGCTACATGCCTGGAATATCTGATGCTGCAATTGCAACAATTACTTCTGCTGCTAAAGCATTAACCGATCTATGTATGAGGTATTGCTTTTTTGTGACTAATGCTGCAGTGAAAATGTTAGCGTCCAGGGGAACATTGCGTGATGGAAGTGCCCTACTTCGAAGACTTGATCTTTGTCACTGCTCAGGATTGTCAAATGATTTAATACACATTCTTGATAAGTCTTCATTCCCTGGTTTGCACTGGATTGGCCTTGGTTCTACTGCCTTGAAGACTAGAAAAGACGAGTTTGATGTGATGCTCAATAAGCGGCCATGGCTTACAGTGTGTTTTGATGACTGTGAATTGGGATGCCATGATGGATGGATGTATTAGGTTTGATGTCTCTATGGAATCAGACAGTTTTTGCCAAAACCTTTGTATTGTTGGCTGTAAAAGGGCCTAATTCCTTCATCATTTTATGCAATTTTTAGTACTCTTTGTATGACAATTCCTCATCTTCCTGTCTCTTTTGGTTAGTAGCTTTGGATGTGCAGACTTGTATTAATAAATTACATTTTTGTTAAAAAGTATTACACACCTTTCATGAAAGACAACCAAATGTAAAACAAGTAAAATCCAATTTTCAAAAGTTCCAAATGGCATTCCTGCAGCTCATCGCAAAAGTACAATGTATGGCATTCTGACAAGAGGGTTGGTAGTGCCCTATGTAAGTAATTATGCTTTCAAGTTACCATAAGGAGAAAAGGAGAGAATGGGAAGAGGATGAAGAATGTAAAGCATAATATCTACTTTGATTTCTACATTGTTGATATGCTTTGACCAAGGTACATAAGGCTAAACTTTGTGCTTTTACTCGAGAAAAAATCCAGGCTGGGATAGATCATGCCAATACTCTTCAGTGCTCAAATAAAAGAAGTTGGATCATGCCAATACTCTTCAGTGCTCAAATAAAAGAAGTTCGCCCGCCTCTCCTGCTGTGCCTATCGTATGCAGTGTTGAATTTGTCAACCAGCTCATTCATTGTGCTGCCACCAAGTGAATTGAAGATATTAGATATGCCAAATTGCCAACATGCAAAGGAAATACAAGAGATTCCGGAACCACCTAAAGAATGTATTTAGTAAAATCCATGAACTGAAGAAAACCATGAAGGAAGCCTGTTTGTTAGCTGACTATGTCTGTCTAATTGACTGTTAAAATCAATCCAGTCATATTTTTGTTTGCCCATAAGATCTTTTAAAGAGTATAAGCACCATACCTTGAGCAGTTGGTGAACATGGCCAGGTAAGACACTAATAAGGTATCATTATATTCCTGCCCAAAAATGACAGAGGAAATAACAAAGTCAGAATAAGAACCAAAGTTAGAATACTGGAACTAAGTGACAACTATTTCAATCTCTTTTTCTAGGTATGTCTGATACAAAAGTCCTCTCCCTTTCAATAAAAATTTCCACACAAGTAAGCATTGAAAACGAAACCCCAGTAAATCAATATTGAACTTTTCTGAAATTCTCACCATCAAGAAATCATCTTGGAATTTCTCCGATTCTATTGCTGGTAATCTTCTCAAGAGACTAGAGACCTGCCTTAGCAATGAATTCTCAGAAGGAATTTCACCTGCATTTGCAGTAGGAAAGCAATTACAACACACTTGGTCTTCATTGGCACCAGTTTCCAGTAAAACACAGGCAGGGTATTTCTACGGGGGAAGATAGTCTATTACCACCTCACATTATTGCAAAGGCAAGGCATTTACAGTATAATTTGACCTTCCAATAAAATAAATTGGATACCTTTTTGCATAGCAAGAAGATAGTGGTGAAGCACTCTGATTCTACTATTTAGCATTTTGATAGCACTATGTATGCCAGTAAGATGAGCAGCCACTGTATTAAGAAAAAGTCATCCATAAGTGAAGCAGTTCCTACTTTCTGTCACAAACTGAAATCAGTTTGAAACTAAAAAAAAAAGGAGCTAAAATTAACAATTATAGTGTTCAAGAGTAGAATATAGCTCACATTGAGTAGCAGCAGAACCTCCATCCGAGGGTTTAAGATGTGCAACATGATCCACAGAAATTCGTTCAGCTTCAACCGTCTTAAAAGATACAAGAAAAAAAAAAACTATGACCACCAGCTCTGAACACATCTTGATAACATGATGAAAGATATGGGGTAAACAAAGAGCAACTCACCTCAATAGTGTAGCTTGCATGGACAAAAATAAGCTGTGGGATCCCATCAATCACATGCAGCTCTTCAATGACAATAAACATTTCAGTAGAAAATAATATTAAACCATAAGCTTCTATAAAATACAGAACTTTTTTTTTTTTTGAAATAAAACTTTAAAGTTCCATTTTATATCTCAAGCATTTGGTTTGACAAGTTGTAAAGATAGAAGAAATCAAGAAAGGCATTTGCACACATAATCCATGCATCATCTAGATAGAAAACTTAAGAAGAAGAAGAAGCACATACCACTTTCATATATAGTGACAGGCAAATCCTTCTGTGCATGATTGATAGAGGGGTTAAGAAGAACATATAATGGGCTTTCATTGATATCCATCAGCTGTGTTAATAGAATATTTGTTAATATGACATAACATAAAATGCTGAAGTTAGAAATTTTACATTCCTAGTTCCTAGGATACAAGTTAAAATTAGAGTATCTCCACTTTCATATTCCTACCCGCAATTCCATTAATATTTGCATAGGGGTTCTCTACATTTTTGAAGCTCAGTGAGTATATCCTAAATGCACCCATGTTAAGCAAAAATGTCAGAAAGACCATATTCTGTAAATCTAATTGCTGCTACTCCTTTTCCAACCTTTTTTCTAGCTCTATGTAAATAATTTTATATTCTGGAATTATAGAGCTGTGTGTGAGTTTCACTAAACTGCCCAAGGATCCATTGGATGCCAATTAAGGTACAGTATCCAAAACATAGTTATCCCTTACAAGTTAAAAGATGCAGGACATAAAAACTCAAAACTTGAGAATTAAATTTAACATAGACTAACAGAACTTATTATAGGTCTGACAGAAAACTCACAGCTTTGTGAATGTGCATATCTGATTCCTGAGCGTCACTCCCAGTTGAGTACCATCCCAGTATGTAAAAGTTGGGAAACACCTTCTTATCTGGTCGAGATTAAAAATATACATATTTTTTTCAATTCAGCAGGAAAAAATATACACTCAACCAATTACGGAGAAAGATAATAAAAACAAATTGTTAAACTAACAAAGCTCTTGTTTCTTTTCGAGGAAGCCACGGTCGAGAGAGTGAGTAACGGGATCATAGAGAAGCTCGAAGCTGTTGAAGATCTCAACGGTGCGGCCTCGCTGAACGCCGATGACGCATCCGAAAACCCTAGGCGGAGCGGAGGCAGTAGCAGCGGGGGAGGAGGGTTCGGCGCCGTTGGGGGCGGAGTGGGGAGGTGGAGGTTGGGACTGGGACTTGACCCGGGTGTAGTGATCCGATATGTTGAGTATAACTAGCGGGTGGAGTTTGAAGGTTAAGCCACTGCTCGACGATGACGCCATTGTTTCTCGGTGTCGTTCTCAATCGATTCAGAGAAACCCAGTTTGGAGAGAAGAAAGGCTTTTGCTTTCACCTTCTTCCCCGTGCTTCTGAACCAACTTTTCTTACAGTCTGGCCCAATTCTTCTTTAGCGCTAAGCCCTAACAAAATTCTCCTTCCACTTAATGCCTATTTTTTTACTTTTAACTCTCCTTTAATAAATAAATTCCTAACAAAATTCTACTTGTCTCCAATGCTTTAATCAACTAAAATTCTATAATGTAAACCAGTAAATTTTAATAATTATTATAAATACAAAAAATCGATTGTGATAATAATTTATAAATAGTAAAAGTATATTATTATTTTATGTATAAAATGACATTTATTCTTTTTTATTTATTTATAATAAATTGATGATATATACCTAATATGTTTGAAGCATCATTTTAGATTATTACTTTAATTATATGGTGTCCTTTTTAGTTAGGATGGAGCACATTCAAGCCCATGACCTTTGGTACCAAATTGAAGCTGGCTCTGATACCAAATTGAAGCATGTGTTCCGTCTCAATTAAAAGTCTAAGTTGATAGTTGAATTGCATATTAATAGTTATATGCTCAACAGTCATCATATGGAGACGAAAATGTCTTTATTTAATTTGTCTCTATGGGAGGTATTGATGGCTACTATATATATTCCCATATAACAAATAATTAAAATTGAAGATAGTTATAACGGTAATCTTCATCCCTTTCTCTGTTTCTAGATAAAGATCATTGATTATTATATGGAGAATTTTATTTTTTTAATAATTAAAATAATTTTATTTATAAAATATATATTTTTGAGAGGATAGTATTACTTTGTAAAGAATCAACATATTTATTAAAAAAAAAAAAAAAATTAATGCCACACACAAGACTTCAAGCTGACAACACTAGAGCAATATGATATTGTAATTACCTCAACAATTTATGAGTTGGAACCCTTGGACCTAGACCCTTTGTTTTTTTTTTTTTTGGAAGGCCACTAATAATCATATCAGCATAACGAGTTTGCGCTATTGAATCTTTGTGTTTTCATTCTTTGTACGAGTCGTATGTGAGGAGAGTGGCACCATGACCGGATTTTGAGACTTGTAAGATAGACAACAGCACAGAACCTCAATTTTAAGAGAGCATAATATTTATTTTTGACCTATCTATTTAATAAATTAAATATATAAAAAAAATCTACTATTAATCCTAAAACTCATCAGTTTTTTCCTAAATCACTTTTCTCTCTTAATAATTAGGACCTAATTAATTGAGCATGACAATCATTCTGTAACTGAAAAGAAGAGTCATATATTTTACGGTACTGATTTTAAATATTGTGCTTATACTTTTGGTAGGACCTCATTTATTTATTTATTTATAAGGACAAAGCCACAAAAATCCAAAATCGGCCATGAGTAACACAAGAGCTTGTTAGCTAGGGGAGCAACAACAATAGTTGATTTTATTTATTTATTTATTTTTTGTGGAGTTTTTGCAGGATGACAATGAAAGAAAAAATGGAAGTGAGAGAAAAAAAAATTTGAAAAATTACTTTTCATGCGCCCTAGTGGGCGCGGCACGATTTGCGCGTTTCTTTCTCAAATTCTGCCAATATGTGAGGTCCATAAAAAAACTTGAATTTGCAGTAAAAATAATAAAATTATGTTCCCCTTTATTCAAAAACTAGTCCATAATTTTTTAATCCCTCCAAAGTTCACAAATAGAATTGCTCTTATCAATAATTATAAAAGTTTGATTTCTTAATTAGAAAGACATCAAATAAAATTGAAACAATAGAAAATAAATGGTACATGTGAAAGGATATGTGTGACATACGAGAAATACAAAATAGATATATATGCACCAAAATAATAATAAGTAAAAATGGTGATAAGATGTGGTTGTAGCTAGCATGCACGTTTTACTCATACCGCACGCTTCCTTCCACCAAAACCCTGATTTTTGTCCCTATGCATTACCATGCACCTATACCCCTCACCTCGCTACATACTACACATTACATCTCTCCCCGGTCAAAGACTGAAATAGGAACATATTAAAAATGAATGAAAAGAATGGAATTAAGCTTTTAAAAAATAGACAATATAATAAGAAAAAAATTCATTTAGGACATGCGTGCGTTTCCAAATGAATTTCTTGAAAATTCAAAATATTTTTTTTCGTTAAAATACAAGAAACTTATTTGGGTCATACATATATATATATATGCATGTCCTACATGCATTTCTCAATCATATTGTTTCTCGTATTATACGAGAAACTCATGGGACATGCGTATACGAGAAACACATGCATGTCCCAAATGAATTTCATATATTTTAGCGAAAAAAAATTATTTTAAATTTTCAAGAAATTCATTTGGGACTTGCGTTTATGAAAAGAAACACGTCCTAAATGAAATTTTCCATATATTGTGTACTTGCTAAACGCTTCACATTTTTATCATTCAGTCTTTGACCCCATCTCTCCCTCCCCTAGTACCCTACCTAGATTTTTTTTAATATATATATATATATATATATATATATATATATATATATATTTATATTGAAAAACTTGTTAGATACAAAATGTTATATTTTAAGATTTATAAAAGAAAGAAAAAATATTTGATAAAGGAATTGATGCTAAGGGTTAATTTTGTGGGCGAAACTCGCAGTCACTACTTAAGAATGCACATTGATGGGGCCGGTGTTTGATTGGCATGAATTGAAATTTAATGTCAATATAATTCCATGAAATGAAAAACTACATTATTTGGTTGGAGGAATTGCAATTTATAAGCCCCTATATGAATTGCAATTCAACCATACAATAAGTTTATTCCTCCTACCAAATAATGTAATTTGAATTCATTTTTTATAGGCCCCTATTCAACCATACAATAAGTCTGTTCCTCCCACCAAATTAAAATTCTTTCACCCCTAATTATTTCCTTCGAACCAAACGCTATATGAGTGAAACTCGTTTTCTAGACTTTAGTTAGTTAATTAAAATATCAAAGAGGCCAATAAATCAGTCTAAACAAGCTGTAGTTAATCACTTCAAGTGAAAATCCAATTGATAATTCTTAACTAGCATAGGTATATATAGAAGTGGAACTCATTACTGTACTATAGTGAGTTAGGAAGTAGGAAGTTGTTTTTGTTGTTGTTGAGGTATATATGTTTTTAGATAAAGCCTTAGCTTTGTCATCATATCAATCATCCGACCCTCTCTATCTTCACAAATACATGCAAATAGTAATAATAACTATATATTCCATCAAGATTCCTTAGCTTCTCCATCATCCATTCATCCTCCTATGTTTGGTTTAATGTTCGACTACTTTCTCTCATCTTTCTATTCCTTTCCATCCTTAGATCCTGTAAAGTCATGATCAAGGTCATAGTTGACAACATATAATGAATACAACAATACTATACTAGCTTCAAACTCTATTTATCTATATCAACCATGCATCCACAAAATAAAAGAGTAATATTATATAACAATTTTTTTGATTGACAACAAAAATTCATAACTACTCCATAAGAGTGTGCACTGAGTAAACCCTACAAAACTAAAGAGAATATATAAAATTTCATTACCTATAGAGCGTCGAGTGCCATGACAAAATTAAGGCTAACCCATATAGATGACAAATGGGCGCTTGTGGTGATGCTTCCCTATCTATTCAAAAACTCTTCCAAGTTTTTTATAACTCCTCCAAAATGTATAAATGGAAATGCTCTTATTAGTTATTACTTAATTTTATTGTGCATTAATTTTAAATCTAAAATTTAATTAATTAATAATAGTAAAGGGTTTTGTTTATTGGGAGGTGTGGTTGGACCAATCTTTTCAAATATCAATTCAATGAATGATTGATGTGGATACATATATGTGTATATATATTCATGTCTTTCAACAAATATCATTTCCCTATTACCTGCCATGGCTTGTGTGATGGCATATGAATTATCACCATACCCTGTGTCGTCTTCAAAAGACTGTACTGTGCATCAGAAACACATATATATTTTCTATACTAATTCTAAGCAATCATTGATTAGATTGCTTTAACATTCGCTATGGTTGAGTGAATCGGAAGAGACTCATTCATCTTTAATCAAATGTCAATAATTTGATTATTGACTTTGGGTATGAAATAACTTTAAATTTTCAGACCAGCTGTCTCACTCAAAAAAGGTATCTACAACTCAGCGCAGGATTAGTCACTATCTGACGGTGAAAATTCTGGGTGCACCATTTTTTTTTTTTTTTTGATTATATTGCTTTGGTTTTTATATATATTTTTTCAAAATATAAATAATATAGTTTATTATTATTTTTACCTTAACTTTTTATTTTTACTAATGTGACACGTGTTGATTGGTAAAATGAGCAACAGTAGTTTTTTTTTTTTTTTTTTGAAGCATTAATTTTGCGTTCCATTTCACCACAGGTAACTTTGAGGAGTGGTGATAGTGACAATGTGAGATGTCTTGTGTGTGTGTATATTGATATAATTGTGTATGTATAGTTACTGATTTCAGCAGTTGTTGATGGAAGGATGTGAATGGAGTAGGCAAGTAAGGAAGATACCAGGCCAGTCTTACAGCTGTTTAGATTGCAAGAAGGATATTCTTTGTTATGTTACTTGCACCCAATTATCAAAATTAAATATCAATACATAATATTTTCTTAAAAGTTTACTAAACTTTGATTATTTACGAAAAAATCTATAATCACATATATGTATAATCTGAGTAAAATTTATTTTAGGATATTTTAATGATAAAGAATCACGAGTGGATAAACTATCATAGCTAAGTACTATAGCTAATTAACCAGCTCATCAATAAGGTAAAAAAAGAGTCAATTGAAACTTATTAAATGCTTACTACGCTAATAAATTACCTCAGCTCAACCCCATACACACACATATATATAGATTATAATATAATATTAATCCTGAGGAAACAAAAACATAATGTGAGGAGGAATTGAAGCACCATTCTTGGACTGCCAACCTTTGCCCCTAAGATTCCTTTCATAATAACCACCCTCCATCTCTTCCATATGCTCATCCATATATTAGGCCAAACATATATTATTACACACACACAATGACA